AATGTGTGTGTTGTTCAGGCTGTGCAGGGAGAAAGATAGTAGACATAAGGGGAATACAGACACATGCACAAATATTTATAATGAAAATTGAAGGGTGCCAAAATACAAGTATATCTATTCATTGATTTCTTGAGAATAAGGTCCCTGATGATTTCAATACATTCATTTTCTATTTCCAGGGCTGAGCACAGTGCCAGTACACAGTAAGAATTTAATAGACACTTGTTAAATGAATGAGTGAATGAATGCACATACGTATGCACAAGATGTTACGAGAATACAGAAACAGCATTCTTGACATTCTAGGAATTATGGGAGTGGATCAGCTGGTGAAGGAGTCAGGGGGTAGGCTTAGTGCCAGAGACTGCTAATTGTTCCCTAGTACCCAGTCCCCCAGCAACAGGTCCGTGATTTTTGGCCGGGCACTTACCATCCTCCTTTACTGTTAGGTATGCCACATGACTATGTGTTGACCAATGGAATGTCAGCAAAAGTGATGTGTGTACCTTTTAGGTCCCGTCCTTAAAACGAATAGGCGTGCCTTTCCTTTCTTCTTTTGGGGAAGGGAGGGAGAAAAAATTTACGTGTGAGAGAAACATCCATTGGTTACCTCCCACACACGCCCCAGCTGGGGACCAGGCCCGCAACCCAGGCAGAAACCCTGACTGGGAATCAAACTGGTGACCCGTCCAACCACCTGAGCCACGCAGGTCAGGGCTCCTTTTCATCTTTATTCCTGTAACTACTGGCTGGAAATGGACGTGCTGGTAAGCCATCTTGGACTAAGCCAGCAAGGGCAAAGCCCTCGCTTGCAGCCTGAAATAGGAGTCTGGGTGCCTGACGACTTCGTAGAGGACAGCCACTACGGCAGCAGGACTTAAGTGAGAAATGAACTTCTCTTTTGTTGAAGCCAGTGGTTATTTTGCCGAGACTAAATTTACATCCCAATTTAACTATCAGGCAGTCTTTTATAGAAGTGATGCTTGTACTGAGTTTCAAAGATTGGGGAGGCATTCACCAGATGGACCAAAAGGGGAGCACTGTAACAGCCTGTGTAAAGATAGGGAAGTTTGGAGAATGGCTCTGGCATGCCAAGCAGTGAAGCTGGAAAGGCAGACTAGAGCCAGATCACAGAGGACCCTGTCTGCATTGCTGAAAGGTTTACATTTTTTTCTGACAGACAAGATGATATTGCACAGTAGATGTGCAGGAGAGTGAAAAGAAGATTAGAGTCTCACAACTCACATGTAAAATAAGCCAAGATAATTAACCTGTTTCATAGAAGGGAGAATAAAAATCCAGAGAAGGTAAAGGAATTTTCCAAGTCACAGACAGATGTGGAATCAGAACCAGCACTTTTTGGAAATTATACTAGAGTTTTTCAAATGTGGTCTTTGTGCTGACTATGAAAATAACTCTAATTACCTGCCAAAACTGCAAATTCCTGGGTTCCACCCCAGATCTACTCAGAATCTCTGAGGATGGGTTCCAGGAGTTTGCATTTATAACAAGTACATCAGGTGCTTGAAAGTTCAAAGCCACTGCTCTATACCAGTCTACCTCAAAAATATCTCTTAAGTGTTTATAAACAAGCCAAGTGCATGGACTCTAGTAAAAGCCTTCCAGATGCTAGTTCAGCACACTAGCTTTCTCTGTAATTTCATGCCTTCTAAGATCTAAAGATTCAAGAAGCTCCTTCATAAGTAAGATTTCAAGGGGGGAAAGAGGAACTAACAATTATTGAGCACTTGTAGGGAGGCAGGTGGAGGAGGGTATAGGGAAGATAAATGGTGATGTGTGGAGACTTGCCTTGGGTGGTGAACATACAATGCAGTGTACATATGATGTTTTATGGAATTGTGCACCTGAAACCTGTATAATTTTGTTAATTACAGGTTAACCAGTGTCACCCCAATAAATTCATTAAAAAGGAAAAAAATTATTGAGCACTTACTACTTTCCAGACACTCTTCTTGACACACATCATCTCAGTGAATCTTTACAAACATCCTCAAAGGTAAGCATTACAGACATACTCTCTTATTGAAGGTTTCGCTTTCCAGAGTTTCATTTACCAGCAGTCAACTGTGATATAATAGCAGAAAATTCGAAAAATAAACAATGCGTAAGTTTACAATTGCATGCCTTCCTAAATAGCGTGATGAACTCTCACTCTGTCTTGGTCTGCCCCACCTGGCATGTGAATCATTCCTTTGTTCAGTAGAGCCACACTGTGCACACTCCCCACCTGTTAGCCACTCAGTAGCCATCTAGGTTTTCAGATCAACTGTCATGGTATCGCAGGGCTTGAGTTTAAGTTACCCTCTTTTACTTTATTGATCCCAAAGTGCAAGGGTAGTGATGCTGGCAGTTTGGATATACCAAAGAGAAAACATTAAATGCTTCCTTTAAGTGAATAGGTGAATGTTCTGCATTTGATAAGGAAAGAAAAAAATTATATGCTGAGGTTGTTAAAATCGACTGTACCAGAACAAACCTTCCATCCATGAAATTGTACAGAAGGAAAGAGAAATTCATGCCAGTTTGCTGTCATAACCCAAACAGCAAAACTTATGACCACATATTATATACAGTGATAAATAGTGTGACTCCACAGTATCCGTGGTTCCAGGCATTGACTGTGGTCTTGGAACATATCCCCCATGGATAAGGGAGTACTGCTGTACTATCTCTACCTTCCAGATACAGAAACTGAGGCCAAGGGATGTTAAAGACTTACCTAAGATTACGCATAATAAATTTATCAAATGCCAAAGTCTATCCCTTCCTGTTTAACATAACAAGGGAAGGACTAGAGAACAGGATTTAGAATCCCTAAGTATCCATAATAATGTTTGTATATACATAAATTGTTTATTTTCCAGATTGGGCCACTTCTACAAAGCAGGTGGACAAATATTCTTAGATTCTCAAAGAGTAGCCAGGAGGGTCTCTAGAGTTATTTAACTTAAGTATATTTAACATGCTTTTTTGCTAAATTTAGAGCTTGCACTTGCAAGCTCTCCATGACTCTGATCTCAGTGTGGAATTAAGAACTTCACTCAACTTGCAGACTTTGGTTTCTTTCTCTTTCTACTATGGAGACCAAGTATCTAGCAGATTTTTTTCTTTTGAATAGATATTAGCACCTATTTTATGGATTTCTTTAAAAGATTTAATGTTTTTTCCACTTAAAACTCGAAAGATGACTTATCAAGTTGTATCATAATTTAATGCCCAATGCTGTTTTACAAAAGGTTTTTCTAAACTAAGAAGTGTGAAGTTCATACCTGTGACATTTCATTGCATGACATTTATGTATTCATGTTAGCATTAGTTCATTGAATTTCACTGTAAGAGAAATTAGAGTGCAAAAGGGCTCTAGAAAATGCAACTGGCATTAAAATTATTATACTACCAGGTCTGCTGAAAATTGCTGGAGAAGTTTCAAAGTGGCAATAGAAAAAACAGCAATCTTTTCTCTTCCTTTTCGGTTTTAGAATAGGCATTTTGGAGATAACAAAATAGGTTAAAAGGCCATCATTGAAGTGTTTAAAATGCACACAAACTCAACAATAAATATAAGTCTGTCACTTGGTTTTATTCTAGAAATCAGTATTTTTTCCACTACATTTATGATTGTTATTTGATGCAGGCTCTGCTCTAGCTCTCAAAAATTAAAGTAGCTATATTAAAACCCTTTGGGGAGGTTTATAAATGTTCCCAGTTGCATTCAATAATTTGGAGGGTGGGGCAAATTTGATGTTTTTGTAGGTCCGTTTCAGCAACGCCTTTCTTTGCAGGCAACGTCTGGAATGGAGGAATGCGTGTTAAATTGGCAAAGATCTTTAACTTACCCTGGAAAATTCCGTCTAACGTATTACCTACTGTTGTTAAAAACATGGATTAAAGTAAGGCTCTCTTTTTTTCCCCTTTCTTCAGTAGTTGTATACTCATCTGTATTATCATTTCCTGCGCCTCTGCCAAACCCGCTAAACTGGGTGTTGTTAGCAACACAAAATTCTGGCTTTCTAAGAGACCTAACCGGGTGTGTCGGGAAACACGGACCACTTTCGATTGGGGGAAGTCGAGGCCTCTCAGATCCGAGCAAGGGGCCTTCGACCTCGGGGGGGGGGGGGAGGGGGGGGGGGGGCGGCTGACACAGCTGTCCGGTGCAGTAAGAGTAACTCTCGGATGTCCGGGCTGCACCGGCCAAATCCCGCGGGATCTGCCCTGCGGCGGCCGCTCCTCCCACCCCTAGTGGCTTGCTTTCGGTTGCTATGGAGACCTGGGTCCTAGGCTGGCGGAAGACTGAAGGCGGAGGAGGCGTACCTTCCTCGGCCTGAGTCCGGGGGTCCTGAGGCTTAGCATTCCAGGTCGCTTAGCTGCCGCGCCCGGGATGGTGACTGCGCGCTGCGGCGCGTTCTCTTTCCGGAAACCCCGGAGGCCCCGGCCCCCTGCCCTGAACCCGGTGGGAGAACTAAACGGCCATCGCTGGCCTCACTTGCCGCTCCGCGGTCCCGGGGCTCCCGAGGGCCCTGTTCCATACACCGGCCTTCGGTGTCCGCAGTGCTGCATCTCCGTCCCCACAGCCCCGGGAAACATCCGCCCTCTGGGGTAAAGGAGGATTCGCGGGAGCAAGAGCAAGGGGTGTCCGTGGGGCCGTAGACGCAGCTCTTTGGGGAGCTGTGTCTGGGGAGAAGTCGCCTGTCACGTGGGAGCGGGGGAGATTCCCCAGCAGTCGCCATCCGTCTTCCCTTTGAGTGTGTGGAGGTTTCTTGGGTCTTTGTTCGGCTCGAAGTACAGGATGCTCAGGGCAGCCAGCAAACGCCACCTGTTAGTCTTTAAGCCACAACAGAGTGGGGCATCCAGCGTGGTCCTGCAGAGAGAGTAATTTACTGAGATAACCTTATTCTGTCCACAGAGATGATGCTTAAGGTAGAAGAAAAACCATTTCCTGGAACACCTGAGTTGTAATCGACGACAGTCAGGGGGCAAACATGTTACAGTTGAGTGAACTGCGGTATTCGAATGAAAACGATGTCGAGGAAATCTCCCAACTCGCTTGCCTGTCATTGTCAGATGACGAAGCATCCGGCGAAAAAAACTCTGGCGGTGTTCCCGAAAAAGCTGGTTATCCGGACCCCGTTTACATTATGGCAGCGAACGTTTTTCAGGGTATTCGAATCGAAAAGTCACCAGAGAAAGTCTTAATAAAGTACGGGAATAAACCCCTGCTGGCCTTGTTCGAGTCTGAGGATGAATCCTTTCAGCGCTCATCCTACGAGCTGGCTTTCAGTGCCCTGAAGTGTGAGTAGCAGCGGCCTCAAGGTCATCACTATGAGAAAACAGAGAATTTGTGGCGTGCAGCCCGGTCAGGCACGGCACGTTTGGGTTTTTATGTGTATGATTATCTTCGGTCAGTTTCAAATGTCAAGGAATTAGGCGAGGTCCAGTAAAACAAGCTCTTTCAGGCCAAAACTGGTTTTCGGTGTAGATTTTGCCTAGCATGCTGACCTATCCTTAAGTAGATGTGAATCAGTCATTACACTGAGCAAGGAAACATTTCCATGAGCAGGAAAAAGAACAGTCCATTGAGGCACCGAAGTACAGATCGCCTTTCCTTGGGAATTCTTTTCATTCTGGGTTTACATGTTGTATTTTAGTGTATGAACGCTCACAAATATAAACTAAAGACCAGTAAGAAGGTGGGAGAGGTACAGGGTTGGAATGAGAAGGTGCAATATATATTAAAAATGAGTATCAAAATTAAACCAACCCCAATTAAGATGATCCCATTCATAGTCAATAGCTTTAATTTGGGGAGGTTGTGAATTTATTCCTCCACACTTTTGTAGAATTCTGCTTTTCTAATTTTCCTCAGGGTGTGAGATGCCGTGTTTCAGACTCCCTCGATGGTGATTATTAACTTCTGAGTGCAGAGCTGATCCCAGGACAGAACGAAATAGTGTTCACAGGAGAGCAAGCAGTCAAAGGGCCTGGAGACATTTGTTTTTTGTGCTAGCTGTGAACTTTAATATAGTACTGTATATTATAATATAAACTATGAAGTTTATATTGGCTTGTAAACTGACTGAATATAATTATTAAAAGGAGTTCCAGAAATGTATGGAGTATTAGCAGCATGGTTGAAATGATAACCATATGGCTTCCTAAAGAGACAACTTGAAAGAGACAACCTCATTTGTGTATATGTTTTTAATATATTAATCCTTCCTGGGCCTTGCACATCCTCACACATGGGTAGTTAACAATTGTTCAGTGGAGTTAAAATGTCTCATTAATTTCTTAGACATGATTATATATTTTCAGTTGCCGAGATGATGTAGTTAAAAATCTGAAGCCAGGAATTTGTCAACACAGAGAAAAATTTGTTTGATGTTAAGAGGCAACTTGCCTTTAGTTTTCATTTTCTTTTCTCTTGCTTGTGATTTTTTCTTTTAAAATCTGTCTTAACCATTTTTCCTCCTCCAATTTAATCTTAAAGACTAACCAGTGAGTCAAATGAACATGTTGACATCTCTCCTTGCAAGAATCAAGTGAAGACTGGGCATCTATGTTGATTAGTGGGTATTTAATGTTAATGCCAAAATTCTATTGTAGACCATTTATTTTCTTCATTGAATATTGAGTCTTACCTTAGAAATCAGTACTAAAAGCCTGAAATTGTCTTATATAAAATTCTGCACAAATTAAATGGTCCTGCTATGGTGACATGTGTCATTGATTGTCCTTTTCTTTCTCTTGATCTTTAGTTCATGAAAAGGTGTTGTTACTATTTGATATTTTGTATTGACTCACAAAATTCCATTCAGATAAATTATTGTCATAGGCCTTTACACACCTGCTTTTGCTTGAAAGGTTCATTTTTAAAAATAAGTTCGTATTCTCAGAAGGATGGCTTTGGTTATTTAGTTGGTAGGATAGCTTGGTTATTATTTTCTTCTTATAATAATAATATATTGCTCAAATTATTATCTGAATAATTTCTGAATGTTCAAGTGGAATAAACCCAGAACTCCTAAATCCAGTGGGTTTCCAAGATAAGAGCCTAATATTTTGCTTTAAAATATTGGAGGCTCTTGCCATTTCCCATTTATCTTCTGCATCATCAATACTTTCTCATGTTATTTTGTAAGCTCCTATTTGGTTTATATGGCATAGATTCAGGGAATCCCAGTACAGGAAAAAAAACTTAGGATTTCTTTCCTAAGGTTTTATAGGAGCAGGAAAGCTAAAAAGATTAATGTATAAGCTGAAGAGAGACTGGGTAAATGGTCCCTTTTCTGGTGAATTTATGAAAAGGTAATCAGATCATCTTACCGTTTTTTTAAATTTTGAGGAAGTATAGGAGAGGAATAAAATGTCAAGAAATTCGCTTAATTATAGCAATGTTAAGTATATTCCTTTAGTTAGTTTTATGTTTTCCAGTTTTATTGTTTGCTCCTTTGATGATGTTCTTCATTGTGTATAAGCTCTATCAAAACAGAGTGTATTTATCTGATTAACCTTTTAAAAAAGTTTTGATTTATTTATTTTTAGAGAGGGGAGAGGGAGGAAGAGGAGGAAAGAAACATCCATGTGTGGTTGCCTCTTGAGTACCCCCTACTGAGCACCTGCCTGGCAACCCAGGCATATCCCTGACTGGGAATCAAACCAGTGACCTTTTTTGCTATGCAGGCTGGCACTCAAGCCACTGAACCATACCAGCTGGGGCTGGTTAACCTATTAAAGGTTTAAAGGGGTCAGTATGTTTTTTGAAATGAAGATAATCACTACTTCTGCTTTACTAAATAGCCCCAAGATCACTTTTCTGCTAAAGCAGGTAATGAAGAGTAGCTTATACCTATTAACTTTGACTTCTGTCACAGAAATAGAGTACTGGCAGCTAATGTGTTTTTTCAAAGAATCTTTGGCTGTTTCAAGGAATAGAATACTAAATATTTTAAAAGGAAATCTGGAAAGTGATTTCTTAAAAATATTTTTTAAAGAAAGAAAGAGAACTTGAGGAAAGATATGTCTCTGGAATTGTTGATCCTATTGGTGGCTTAATTCTTCTTCCAGCCTTTCTAAGTATAGAGTAGTTGGTAAATTTTCAGTACCAGGAACTGGCTGTGGCATTAACATGGTCATTTCAGCATCATCTAACCTGTCAGTGAAAAACTCTGTAAATGCTTAATGTATGGTTTGAGAATTGGTAGTTGTTAGTTGGGGTCCCAAGTCCAACCCCAGGGTCAGTGATTTCACTAGAAGGATTCATAGAACTCAGCTAAGCTGTTATATTCATGGTTATAGTTTATTAACACGAAAGGTTAGAGATTAAAATCTGCAGCAGAAAAAAGGTACATAGGGCAGAGCCCAGGAGAGACCCCGTTTAAGCTTAGTATTTTTCCTTCCCAGTGCAGTCTTGTGGACAGTCTTAATGCTCCTAGCAACAATGTATGACAAAGCTAATGTAGTGTTGGCAACCAGGGAAGCTCGCCTAAGCCTTGCTGTCTGGGGTTTTTATTGAGGGTCAGGCATGTAGACACGGAATACCCTGTTGCTGACTTTTCTCGATCTCTTCTTTTCCAAAAGTCAAGCTCATACTGTGTTGCCCAAGGACCCAGGTAAAAAAGACACTTTTATCAGGCAAGATGTTCCGAGGGCTTGTAGAGGTTATCTTTCAGGAGCCAGTCAAGGGCCAAACCATTCTTTGGAATGTGCAGGGTTTGGCCACCCAGGCCTGCTGAGTTTATTCTTGATTGCATAGTGACTCAAAAATGATCTGATTCTAGATCAATGACCTCTTAAACTCTCTGGTTTGTTACCTAACAGGTTAAAGCAATTCTCTTGAATGACAATAATAATACATTATATTTGCATAGCTTTTTGTAATTCACAAAACAATTTATATCATTTGATATACCAGTCCTTTGAGATGAAATATCTCATTTTCCAGATGAAAAAACTGAGGGAAGCTCAGGAAGAGATTAAATGATGTGGCTGAGTAATCAAGCAGCAAGAACAACAAAGAAAGGAAGTGTTTCATTTGGTTGAAAGGGTGGTAGAATATCAACCCCATACCCAATCCTGTTTTTTTTATGGTTCCACATTATTTATTTTAACTATATAATGATTTTCTATTTGGTGATATCAGCTTTAACGTGTATGTACTGCTCCTAAATATTATTTCAAAAACATTAGTGGCTCTTCTTTCTCATTTTGCCTCAGAGACTTAATTTTGTAGTTTTTCCTCCTTCCATACAGGTAAAAACCCATCTACCTATATTTTATAATTATAGGGGGCTTGACATTCTTGAAGTGAAGATTTTAGAGGTCCCCCGTATGAAAGAAACTATGTACATGATAAAAACAGAGGGGGAGAACCTAGGGGAGAGTCAAAAGAAGAAACATCTTCTATCTTTTTTTCCAGAATGGGAGGAATAACTAGATGGACTATGAGTTTTAGGGGGTCCAATAAATAGCACTCTTCCTTTACGCTTCACTCTGGAACCAACTGAGAGAGAGGAAAGAGATATTTGATGGATATGGCTTTAGATCTCTAGTCAAGTGGCTTGCAAATATTTTACTCCTGAGGACTTCCAGCCAAGATGGAGGCGTAGGTAGACACAGTGTGCCTCCTCGCACAACCAAAAGAAGGACAACGGCAATTTAAAAACAAAAAACAACCAGAACTGACAGAAAACTGAAGTGTATGGAAGTCCGACAACCAAGGAGTTAAAGAAGACACATTCATCCAGACCCGTAGGAGGGGCGGAGCCAGGCAGGCAGAGGGGGCAGAGAGGACTCTTGGCAAGGTGATGGCTGGCGCACCCAGCTAGGTGGCGGATTGTGGAATGGGGCATACAAGGCTGCAGCTGGCTGGCTAGGCAGCAGTGGGCGGGCAGCAAGGTGGCGGATTGCAGGTTGGGCAATCCCACATTTGTGCATAAACAAACCTGGAGAAACAACTGGGGAGCAGGATGGACGGCACAACCCAGGGCCCCAGTGCCAGGAAATAAAGCCTCAAGCCACTGATTGAAAACACCTGTGGGGGTTGAGGCCGCAGGAGAAACTCCCAGCCTTACAGAACTCCTTGGAGAGACCCACCCACACAGGAATCAGCACCAGAAGGGCCCAATTTGCTTATGGGAAGCAGGGGAAGTAACTGAAAGCTGGCAGAGAGCTGAGCAAGTGGCATTGTTCCCTTTCAGACTCTGTCCCCACAGACAGCATCACAACACAGCAACATGTGTTGCCCTGCCCTGGTGAACACCTAAGGCTCCACCCCTTACTACATAACAGGCACGTCAAGACAAAAAGAAATGGCCCAAACAAAAGAGCAGATCAAAGCTCCAGAAAAAATATAATTAAGCAACAAAGAGAGAGCCAACCTATTAGATGCACAGTTCAAAACACTGGCAATCAAGATGTTCACAGAATTGGTTGAATTTGGTCACAAATTAGATGAACAAATGAAGGCTATACTAAGTGAAATGAAGGGAAATACACAGGGAACCAACAGTGATGGGAAGGAAACCAGGACTCAAATCAATGGAGAAGACCAGAAGGAAGAAAGAAACATCCAACCAGAAAAGAATGAAGAAACAAGAATTCAAAAAAAAATAAGGGGAGGCTTAGGAACCTCCAGGACATCTTTAAATGTTCCAACCTCTGAATTATAGGGGTACCAGAAGGGGAAAATGAAGAGCAACAAATTGAAAACTTATTTTAACAAATAATGAAGGAGAACTCCTTCAATCTGGCAAAGGAAATAGACTTCCAGGAAGTCCAGGAAGCTCAGAGAGTCCCAAAGAAGGTGGACCCAAGGGGGAACATACCAAGGCACATCATAATTATATTATCCAAGATCGAAATGAAGGAGAGAATCCTAGAAGCAGCAAGAGAAAAGGGGCAGTTACTTACAAAGGAGTTCCCATCAGACTGTCAGTTGATTTCTCAAAAGAGACTTTACAGGCAAGAAGGGGCTGGAAAGAAGTATTCCAAGTCATGAAAGGCAAGGACCTACAACCAAGATTGCTCTACCCAGCAAAGCTTTCATTTAGAATGGAAGGGCAGATAAAGTGCTTCTCAGATAAGGTCAAGTTAAAGGAGTTCAGCATCACCAAGCCTTTATTATATGAAATGTTAAAGGGATTTATTTAAGAAAAAGAAAATAAAAATATGAACAGTAAAATGACAGCAAACTCACAATTATTAACAACCATACCTAAAACAAAAACAAAAGCAAATGAAGCAAACAACTAGAACAAGAACAGAACCACAGAAATGGAGATCACATGGAGGGTTATCAATGGGACAGGAGGGAGAGGGGGAAAAGGTACAGAAAATAAGTAGCATAGATGGTAGGTAGAAAATAGAAAGGGGGAGGCTAAGAATAGTATGAGAAAGGTAGAAGCCAAAAAACTTATAAGGTACGACCCATGGGCGCGAACTAAAGGGGGGGATGTGAAGGTAGGAGGGAAGTGAAGATGGGGAAATGGGACAACTATATGTGATAGCATGGTCAATAAAATATATTTAAAATATTTTACTCCTGAATTAGAGGCTTCCCATTTATCCACGGCACAGCTGAAGAAGTGCAGAGACCCCTCCACCCCAGCTCATGAAAGGTATAGCATGTGTAAAGAGCAGCCTGTAATTCGTGCACACCTTCTGCAGACAAGCTGGGACAGGGGCAGAGTGCATGGGGAGAGGAAAAGAGGGACGGAGATAGGGATGGAAGAGTGGGAGAGATATATTCCAGTTCCTTCTTCCAATTTCACCAATCAAACATTCAATTTTTCTTTTCTAAAGAGTGGTGAACAAGGGATAGGGAGAGCGTCCGGCATGTGTCTAGGGAACAACTTCCATTCTGAACACAGGAGGAGTGGGGATTAAGAGTTTCCTTCAACAGATTAAAGAGAAGAGGCTTTATTTAGTGGGAGGCAGGGATAATTGGAATTAATGTGCTGAAATAGGATAGGCAAGGTTTGCAATTTTCAAGTAAGTCCTGATTACCCAAATCAGGCATTATCAGTGTGTTTTATTTGGCCACTTTGGTTGGTCATAAGAGGAAGATGAGAAAAGGCGGCGTGATGTTGTGGTGAAGAACGTGCACTTTGATGCGCAGGATTGGGTTTGAGTCCCTGATCTGTCACTTGCTGTATTACTGTGAACATCTTAACCACTCTGTGTCTCTTTTGCTAGTCTATGAAATGAATTAACAATGGTACCTAGTTCATAGGGCTGTTGTGAAAGTTGAATATGTGGAAAGCACTTAGAACAATGTGTAGTATAGAAAGCACTATCTAAAATATACAGCTATTAATGTGGACATTACTATGTGAGAATGTTACGTAAATTGTAGATATACAAAGGCAATACATTCTGCACGATATCAAAGGCAGCCCAAAGACATACCAGTTTTGACAGGAGCCCTAGTGGGGGGAAATGCAATGTCAGCAAAATTGTGTTGTCTTCTTTTGTTCATTCCGCCTCTCCCATTTCTTAGGAGTCCAGCAGCACCTCCATTGCTCAAAGTTCTATACCCTATGCAGGTCTGCTACCGTAGAAGCCCTTCATTCTTTTGATGACTATATTTTCTATGACAAAAATTGGGACTCAAGCTGAGAAACTATGACGTAGATAGGAACTATTTTGCGAGTATTAAGGATGTGAAACTAAACTTCATTTTTCTTACATGTGAAATGGTGATATGCATAATGATTCCCAAAGGATTTCCTCTGAAAATTGTGTTCCCAAGTTAGTTGCTTCTTTTTCCCATTCCCATCCCCAAAATGAAAACTGAAATACAGTATGTACTGTGCAGATAGTAGGTTCCCCGTAAACATTGAGTTGAAGCTAGCCTAGCTTTCTGTTCAACTTACAGAGTATTTGTTACAAGAGGTATATGTGGTTTAAGTAGTTAGAACAAAAGGAACACTGGTGCCCTGCGGAGGTTAGATATGTGGGAAGAAGGAACTGGAATATATCTCTCCCAGTGGGATCACTTGATCCCACTCAGTACTTTGCCATCGTCTCTCTGCCTGGAATACTCTCCTCATAGATCTTCACATGGCTAATTGTAATTTGGGGCTTAGACCTTCTCACATTTTACCAATGTCTTGATGAGTGAGTTCTACCAACTATTCAAGAAATAATACCAACTTAACATAAACTCTTCAAAAGAACAGAGGAAGAAGGAAATCTTCCCACTCATAAGGCCAGCATAACCCTGATACCAATATTGACAAGAATATCACAAGAAGTTAGAAACCATTCCTTATGGACCTAAACAGAGAAGGTCATAAATCAAATATTAGCAAATTGCATGCAGCAATACATAAAAAGATAAGACATTATGAATGAGATCTTCTTTAATACCTTTTGAAAGACATAGCTAAAGGCTGGAATTTCTGTATTACTACTTTGACTACTCAGATAATGCACCTTTGGCTAGGGTTCCACGTGGTGCCTGGGCCATTGGGGTCCAGCCTAATAAAGATCGAAAATATTTCATCACGTCATTGTAATTTAAATCTTTATCAAAAATCATGATATGTTTTAGATATTATAACATTGTATGAAGTGTATTTTGATTCCAAAGTTTTCATTTTCAGCTTTGGTATATTCAGTAACAGACATTTTCCTTATCTTGCAGATCAAGATATTTTGGAAACTATATTAATAGATAGCTATATCATTCCAAGTACTACAATAGTAAGTGAACGGCTTTTATATAATTATCCATGTCTATGATTGTTATTTAGAAAGTACTAAAAAGCCTTCAGGTTTAAGTCATAACTAGTTTGCTGAATGCTGACACCTCTTCAAAGTATTTACTTACCTCTTTTCCACTTGTAGTGCTTCTAATACTGACCCTAATCCTTTTATTTTGATGAATATATCAAAAATTGTCTTCTGTGAAAAGATTTATTTTTTACTAAACTTTTTTAAAATTTTGAAGTCTTTATATTCTGGTCCAACCAGACTATGTAAAAATAGTTATATTCCTGCTCTCCTGTGAAAAATAATGGAATGGAAAATATTGCTATTAGATATTGTTTATACACTTTCCTTGCATGTTTCCCCTTTGTAGCCAGACCACTTGAACAGTCTAATTATTGTGATGCTGTATGATTTCCAAGATAGAAAATTTCAAGCTCGTCTCCTTTCTGATAATGAAGAGTCCATAGCAGAAGTTCAAGAAGTAGAGAACCTTCTAAACAGGTAATTGTAAAAGTGAAAAGGATGTTTTATATGAATCATTATTAGTATTTTCATTGGCAGAACTCTATAAAGTATAATATATAGATGAATGTTAAAATTTATAGAGAAAAAAATAAAAGTTCTTAAGTTTTCTAAGGTCCTTTAAAGACAGTCTTCAACAGGTTAAATATTCTGTTTAAAATCAAGTTGTTTTTGAAAGCTTGAACTGTAAGATCCAACTTATATTTGGAAAATCATGAAAAATTACTAATAATTTTTGTATATACATAAATTAAACTTCATTTGAAATAGCTATTATTTATTTTCTTAGCTTTGTTTATAGTTCTTTTTGAAAAATCTAACATATCAAATGAGAATTCTAATGGTAGATCAGAATCTACTGCTTTGACAAATTGAAAAAAAGAATTTTTTACTTAGTTAAGAACAAATATGTTTTAATTTTGTTTTCTTTTTACTCTAAATATTAACAGAAACCTACTATGTAGATACTAATAAAAAGGTTAACCAATTAAATTAATGCATGTAAAATGCTTAGATTAGATTTAGAATATAGTAAATGGTCAATAAATATTAAGTGCTACTGTTGTTAGGGCTTTTATTATTATGCTGTTGAACCTTAATGAAAAGCACATAACAACAACCACAATCTTGCAGGAAGATTTTTACCTAATGAATGATTTGAAAAGTTGGCAATTTTATATTGTTATGGGACATTCAAGCAGTTTCATTTAAATTATTGAAGGCTGAGACCAGAGGACTCAGGTAATGGAATAATATTAATGGATTAACATTTATTGAGCACTTAATATGTATCAATTACTCTTTTTTTAACCTTAAACTTCTGTGAATTTGCATTTATTTATGGGTTGTGATTTTGATTAAGTCTACATTCAGTCATTCTTATAAGAAGCTCTTTATATAACTACCTTATGCGGTAGATACTGTTACCAACACTTATTATTACACATGGGCAAATGGAGGCACAGGCAAGTGAAAGGAACCTGTCTAATGTCATAGAGCTGGAAAGGGGAGTAGCCAGAAACCGTTTCAGGAGGTCTGATTCCAGAGCACATGCTTTAACCATTTGCGTCTACTACTCCTTGCATTAGGATAGTGCGGTTTGGCTGAAGTACTCTGGAAGGTTAGAGATGTGACACAGTCCTAGCCTCTGTCAGTTACAGCCCTGAGAAATTGTGGGATGAAGATTTAAGCTTAGGAATTACGTAACTACTATTAACATATAAAAAGAAAGCTCTGGCTATTTGTACAATGGGGATGCATTTGTATAGTTGGGTCTATGAGATTGAGAAAAATGCTGGGGTCTTCATGGTCATACTAACCAATTCTTGGGGTTTTTTTCTGTCGTTTGGAACTTTGGGGCATGGGGATAATCAAAACTGGGAAGGGCTTGGTACAGATTCATGCAAGTTCCTTAGTCTTTTCAACACTAAGGTTGCCATCTTGAGGTCACACAGCTAGTAAGTGACAGAACCTGCACTTATCTTCAGATTTGCCTGACTATAAATTCTGCGCCTCTCTCACTGCATCAGATTTGTCTCTCTGCCCGCAATCGATACCAGTGTCTGAGGGGATCCACAGCTGTACCGGGGCAGCAACAACTGAGAAGAGGAAGGACGCCTGTTGGTTTCTGTTTTCACAGACGGCAGATTTGCATTTTAGACTATGGAAATTTGAAATAGAATTATGACAGGACTTGTTAGAATCTGGAATATAAGTTGTTAATGTTTCTAGTAGAAAATTGACAGTCTTGTCTTCAAGGCAATAATCACCAAAAATGGGTTTTCTGTCTCTAGTTTTAAGACAAAATTGGCTGCAGCATTGGCAAGATGTCGAATCAAACATGATGCCCTTTCAATTTACCACATTCTTCCAGAAACAGTTAGGAACCAGGAACTCAGGGCCTCCACTTTGCCACTTTATGCTTGGATAAATACTTGTAAAATCAGGTAAAGTTTAATTAAATTCTTTATTCATATTTCAAGTTGCTAACCTTTTAAAATAATGTGATAAGAAATATTACCTTTTTAATAGATGGGGCACATCCAGGGGAGTAATTGGAGAATCATAGTTTAGTTCAGAATCTTATCACCAAATTTCCAAGGATAACCACATAAATATGTTAGCTTTTCTGTCTCTGTCTTTTAACTTATTGTTGCCTAAAATTATAAGTTCCATTAGCTGCAGTATATGCAGTGGTAATTTTTTACTGTAGGAAAAGATGCCAATGTTAAGTACATTTTTAATGTATCTGTTTGTGTCACAACCTGATGTTGTATATTTGCAGCCCTGAAGAAGTTTATCATAGTTTGAGGAAAAAAGGCTACAACAGAGTGAAATGCGTGTCGCACGTGGGCGGTAAAGTCTTCGCTGTGGACCAGCATTGCTATGATGTCTTAATTTTTCCATCTCATCTTAAAAGTGATCTTCTAAATATAGATCTCTTCAAAGATTATAAACTAATATTCCAGGTAAATTAACATTTATGTCCATTGTGATTCCCAATAATCCTACTTTACCCAAAGAAAGTCTCCACTTAAAACCTAACAAACTGATTACATATATTTTTTAATAGATTATCAGGAGGTTTATAATTTTTACCTTGAATAAAACTAATACCTCAACAATCAGTATTCCTATTATACTTTAGCATCTTTGTCTTGTGTGAATTTGTGAAGAACATATTCTTCCCCAGACTTCATAGATGGGGAGACTTGTATTGCTAAGAGCTATATTTTTCTCTCCCAAGGTAAGATTCAAGAGAAGGTACAATGATACATTTTCTTTCCTACAATTCTGCCAAAGATGCTAGTGCCATCCTGCTTTGAAATTGTAATTGTGTAATTGTAATATGTAATACTTTCCCATCATCTCTTTAATATAGTTTTACAGCTTTGATTTGTAAGAGGGGTATAATGTCTATCAATATAGGAAGAGAACATAAAATGACATGAGGTTTCAATAAAATGAAAAATAAAAGGTTCAAAAATTAAGTTAAATTAATTTTTATGTCCTTAGATTCCAATACTTACCTCAGATTCACCTTGGTCTTCTAAGGTTTATCCCTTCACTGCACCCATATTCTTGGGATGAATCTTCTGACTTTCTGTTAGAGTGACACTCCATTGAATGCCAGTCTGTCTAGCCCCCTTTTATATGCTTGTCAATCATCTTTTGATCTCTGTGAACCAGCAGCAATTTAGATCACAGTGTAAGGGGAAGAGAGAATGGAAGCCACAGATTAATGTGTTTTGTGAATGGATAGGAATGGGAGCTAAGGCAGGATGTCACTAATCTATTAATCACTTATTGGGGATTTTGACATTGTCTTATCACTGCATAGAAGTTAGATGGTAACAGTCATAATTTAAGATAAACAAAGGTCATTGTTTTAAGTCAGTTTATATTAAGTTACCTTTGTTAACTTTGTATTTTAACAAATGTCTTAAAATAAAATGGGCTAGGTATCTCTTCAAGATTCCTACCAAGTACTTTTCATGCTTCTAATTTCTTTGAAATTCTAACCCTACCATATCTTGCAGGACAAATCTCGAAGTCTTGCTGTGCATTCTGTAAGGGCCTTTTTAAATATGGATGATGATGTCTTGGTGGTCAATACAGGTTCGTGGTACACAGTTGCCCATATGTCAATCTTAACAAATAATAATTCCACAAAAATATTTGTGTGTGGAGTACAATCACAAACCAAGCGTCCTGACCTGAAGAACCTTTTCACAAAAATGGGATGTGAAAGTAAGTACCAATATTTATTTGTTTGGTAATTAATGTTCTATAAGATTTAGAAATATTAAAAATGTTTGTGTTGTTTTTAATATAAAAACTATATGAACTATACTCTTAAGATCCTCACTAACTCATATCAGTCTGTTCTTACTACTTAATATTGGTTAAACAACTTAATTTAAATTAATGAATGTATTGACACATTGTTATATTGCTTGCCATTTAGCCACTATATAAGTTTATGTTCAAACAATAATTGGGTAAAGTGAGTGGTAGAAATGATCATCCTTTAATAAATAAGAGCACAATCATTGGACTGCTCGAAGGACAAAGCGAATATCTAGGACTAGAAGCCATGTCTTCTTAGGCTTCTTGTTTTTAGAAAGTTTTTCATTGGATCATGCTGAGACTAAAGATAATATTTTATTACTATAGGTTCAGTGAGGCTGAAAACTAAAAAAAACAAACAAACAACAAAAACCAAACTTTTGACAGATTCGCAGGGCTAGGGAGAAAAAAAAGTAGAATTCAAGGCCTGACCCCAAAGGACTGGTAAATCCCCGGGATTTCATTTGGAGCATGAAAGAAGTGTGCTCTGGGTGGTGATTAGTTCCCTGGTGAACTGGCGCCTGCAGGTCAGTCATCTCAGTCAGGACTTGGGGTAAGGAGATCTGGTACTGCTAGTGTGCAGGCTTAGCTCCCTATCAGAAGCAAAAGTAAATTCTCCATGGGAGAAAGTAACATCCTCCTAGTCTCATTTTATCTCCTAAGTTTTTTCAAATGCAATGTTCGGCACTCAACTTAAAAAAACCAACCAGACAAACAGGAAGAAAAGATATGGCTGAATTAAAGATTAAAACACTATAATAGAAACAAGACCACATAATGTCCAAATACTGGACATATCAGATGCGGTCTTTAAAATGCCTACAATTAATATGCTGATAAGACTAAATGCCAAGTTGTACAATTTCAGCAGAACACTCGAAAGAATAATGTTCAAAAAACATCAAAAGACAGTCATAGAACCAAAAGAATACAATATATAAACTTAAGGAATTGATAGATTTAATAGATTAGATAGAAGTACAGAAAGAATAAGTGAACTGGTAAGCCAGAAGAGAATACCCAGACTGAAGCATGGGAGGACAAAAGTGTGAACAATGTAGAAGGGATCATAAAATACACACGAGACTCTGTGGGCCAGTGATTTCAGATAGGCTGTGATCGGGAACCGAGAGGTGAGGAAGTGGGAAGAAACTATTTGAAATTCAGGTGGGGAATTTTTCAAAATGGATGAAATCAGTTAAGCCATAGATTTAAGAAGCCCTATGAATCCCAGTAAGAATAAATACACAGAGCACATTATAGCGTAATTGCTGAAAGCCAAAGACGAAGAGCAGTGTTCAAAGCAACCAGGGAGATGATGCAGACTACTCTTAAAGGAATAACAATAAAACTAAAAGACTAACTTTTCAACAGAAACAACTGAAGCCAGAAGCCTATTAAACAATATCTACATAGGGCTGAAAGAAACTGCAGGCTAGAGATTATACTCAGCAGAAATGTCCTTTAATATAAAGGGAAATAAAGACATTTTTGGACAGAATCTGAGAGTTTGTCACCAGCAAACCCTACAAAGGATATACTAAGGATTATTGTTTATATAGAAGGAATATTATCTTTCATAGAAAGTCGTAGATGCTAGAAGAAATGAACAATGGAAGAGAAAAGTACATAGGTAAATATAAATAATTATAGTCTAAGGTCTTGTGAGATCATAAACTAATGTCATGTGGGGTTAAAATATGTATGTTACATGTAATTAAAATAAATTAAAACAATGGTACATAGAAAGAAATGGAATTAATGTCCATTGCTTTGTTCATGAAATGGTAAAATTAGTAAATCATTAAGTCAGTGGTGTGTGCAATCAATAAAAGAACACATAGTAAAAGAATGTATATCTACTAGCTGAGAGGGAAAGAGAAGTGGAATAGGGAACTGGAATGCCATATAACATGTATATGTGTTATATGTTATATATGTTGTATGATGTGTGTGTGTTGTGCTAAAACCACTCAATGAGGAAGGAACAAGAAATGGTGCTGGGACAAGTAGATAGCCACTGGCCAAAGAATGAAGCTGGACTCCTGCCTCACACCATATACAGCCCTGACTGGTGTGGCTCAGTTGGTTAGGCATCATCCCACAAAACAAAAGGTCACAGGTTTGATTTCTGGTCAGGGCACATGCCTGGATTGCAGGCTTGGTCCTGGTCAGGGTGGGTACAAGAGGCAACCAATGAATGTATCTCTCTTATGTCATTTGTTTTGAGCTCTTCCTCCCTCCCTTTCCCTCTCTCTAAAAATAAATAAATAAAATCTTTAAAAAGTGCCCTGGCTGGTGTGGCTTAGTGGATTGACTGCCAGCCTATGAACGATTCCCTGTCAGGGCACATGCCTGGGTTGTGAGCCAAGTCCCCAGTAGGGGGCGCTTGAGAGGCAACCACACATTGCTAGTTCCCTTCCTCTCTCTCTTCCTTCCTCTCTCTCTCTAAAAATAAATAATTAAAATGTTTAAAAAAACACATACACAAAAATTAACTCAAAATATATTAAAGACCAAGGTGTAAGAGATAAAACTATAAGGCTCCTAGAAGAAAATGCAGAGGTGTATCTTCATTATCTTGGATTTAACAGTGGTTGTCTAGATATGATAAGAAAAGCACAACAACAAAAGAAAAAATTAGATAAATTGGGTTTTATACAAATTAAAAACTTTTGTTCTGCACTGACCACTATCAAGAAAGTGAAAAAGACAGCTCACAGAATGGTAGTTAATATTTGAAAATCATTCTTCTGATAAGAGGCTTGTATTTTAAATATATGAACAATTCAATAAGAAGACAAATGTAATGAATAATAGATAAAGGATCTGAATTTAATCTGACTCATCAAGAAGAAGAGATCACAAAACAATTCCTACCCAATTCTGATGAAAACCACTACAGATCCCGGAGACAATTGAAACATACAAAGATATTATGAGCAATTTAGTGCCAACCAACCTGAACATTTAAACATATGGGCATATTCCTGGAACAGCAGAACCAACTACTTTTGTCAAAATCTGAATACTTTTGTATCTATTCAGTTCTTAAAATTAGTGGTAATATGAATGTCTTTTGACTTCATAATTGAAAATCTCCTCTATTCACAAAGAAAAAACCCTGCATTCCTACAGGAAGAAATAATACTCTTTCAGAGAATAGCTAGAAAGGGACTACTTCCCAGTTTATTTTTTCAAACTATAAGAGAAAGTTTATTCAGAAAGTCACAGAGGTAGGAGAAGTGAGCTGGAGAAGAAGTGGGCTCAGGAAACCAGTGACAAGCAAAAGAAGGGACCCTTGGAGCTTAGTGGGGAGAAGGGTCAGGTAACTAACCTGGGGCTGAGCAGGGTGGCACAGAAAAGATGCTCCCGAGAGGGGGAACACCCACCCTCCACAGTCCGGTTTATAACCTTGGTATCAAAACTGGAAAAGGACATTAAAGGAAGGAAAATTACAGACCACTGTCACTCATGAGCAAGGCTATAAAAAGTACATACTAGTAATCTGAAATAGGCATAGGATATTAGTAAACTTAATTTAGCGATATAAAAGAATAATAATATAAGTAAGCTGGGCCTATTCTAGAACTATAAAGTTGTTTTTTAACTCTTAAAAATCAATGTATATAATCACTGTATTAATGGAGAAAAATCATATCATCTTAATAGATACAGAATAGAAATATGATACAATTTAACATTTATTCATGATATATATGCAGCAAAAAATCATAACATGAACACTACAGTGTATGGAAGAAGAGATGGTCTTTTCAGTAAATAGTGCTGGAAAAAAGTGAAATTGACCCTTACTTCACACCATGTACACAAATCCAAAATCCTCTGGAATTTATTAAAGGAGAAACACTTTATGACCTGGGGTTGGTGAAGACTTCTTAAACAGAATACGTAAAGCACTAACTATAAAAGTAAAGATTGATAAGTTGGACTATAGTAAATTGAAAAGAAAACAACACTGTACATAAGAAAAAGCAAAGGTAAATTGTAGAGAGGGAACACACCAACTAATGAAGAGTTTTTATCTACAGTACATAAGAAATTATTAAAAAAAAAAAAAAAGACAGGCAACCAGTCAGGAAACACAACCTAGTCAACTGCCTTGACCAGGCATCTCCCAAAAGAGGACATTGAGGTGCCAAAAAAAAAAAAGGTGAAAGCATCCCACCTCATTAGTCGAGAGGGTAATGCAGTTAAAATCATAGCCTACCACCATGCATCTACAAAATCGTTAAAATAAAAAGACTGGTCATGACTTTTGGGAATATTCAAACACTGGTGGGAGGTAAATTTGTACAACCATTTTGGAAAACTAGTTAGTCACTAAAGTTGAGTATATGCCCTCTAAAACTTAGAGATGTCAGGAAGTTGAATAAGAGGGATCTGGCAAAGGGTACACTAGAGAAATGGGATAAGAGTCAAGAAAAAAATGAGTTCAGAAGCTGACCAGTTACTGCTTTATTGCCTCTCAGCTCCAAACCCACCTGCTGCCCTGCTTTGTGATACTTGAAGTACACTCCATTTCTCTGTTGCCCATTGGCTCGCTGTAAGTCTCTGCCATTAGCAGGTGCTGGAGAGACATTACAAGACTCGAAGAGGAAGAAGAAAGGACTTTCCTTCCTCTCCCAGTGACTTATCCCCGTGGTGGCCATGCAGAGGTCCCAGCAGTTAGCCTCGTCCCCTTCTCAGATACCTCAGTCTCAGCCTTGCAGCCCCCGCCCACTCCCCTCCTCTGGCTTGCTAAGTTCCTTGCTCACATTTTTCTCAGCCATGGTAGGTAGTGGCTATGCTGTAGTTGTCACCTCTGTACACATTAGAGTTCTCAAGTAGTTGGCCACCCTTGACCTAGTTGACAAGGGAGAGTAGGAACTACTGAGTAACCAAGCAAAGAGGGAAGGAGATTTCTTCTTTTCAAAGTATTCCAGATAATAAATGAAAAAGGGGTGATAGAATACAGTAGTCCCTTCTTAGCAGTGGATACAGTGGGTGCCTCAAACCACATGTAATACCAAATCCTATATATATAGTGTATTTTTCCTATACATTCATACCTATGATGAAGTTAACTTATAAACTAGGCACAGTAAGAGATGAACAACTAATAATAGATCAATTATGACAACATACTGTCATAAAGTTATATGGATGCCATCTCCCTCTCAAAACACCGTATTGGATAGCACTCACCCTTCTTCCCGAGATGAGACGTGTGATGACGAAACACAGCGAGGTGAATGATGCAGCGTGGTGACATGGTATTACTACTACTGCCCTTCCGGCAATGTCCGAGGACGATCGTCTGAGTCGGGTGGTCCTGAGTGATGAAGCCGTGATGATGTCATGGTTGGATGGCATGAGCAGCTAAAGTAGATGGTCGGGGAAATTTAATATTTTCAGACCATGGTTGACAGGTAACTGAAACCATGGAAAGCAATACCACGGATAAGGGGGACCCCATATGACTATTTTGTAATCCTTTTGCTGATATACTACAAAAGCAACTTACTGGATAAATATGACACCGTTTTTGAAGTAGTTCCCTCCACCCCAAAAGAAATAAAGAAAAGAAAAAAGAGAATCAGTAATAGTCAGTAGTAGCTCTGACTACCAATTTATGGGAAGCACAAAATACAGGAACAGGTAAAGCTACACTCTAGGGAAGCAGTTAGCAAAATCCAGACTGAGGGAAACTCGAGTAGTACAGATAAGTTTCAGTAAGAAATGGTAAGAAAAATGAAAAGGAACCTTTAGATAAAAATAAATGTAAAGTGAGACTTAACAATTCAAACAAAGGAGAAAACATGTTTGACCTGTGGGACTGTTGGGAAATTTGAGCCGCTATTGAATGCGAAGATTATTTGATGATAATTAGGAATGATTTGAACATTTGTGTGGTTACATTTTTTGAAGAGTTCCTATCTTTAGAGGTCTATGGTAAAAGTTACAGATTCACAATACTTATGGGAGTGGGTGCAGATGCAGATGAAGGTGGATTGGGCATGAATGGTGCACCGCTGCAGCTCCATGATGTACTTGCGATTGACGACATAGTATGGCTGTCTTTGTATGTGTTCGAACTTCCCCAATAAAAAGTTCAAGTGCGAAAGAACAAAAAGGCCCATTTGATTAAAAATCACTTCAAAAGAGAGAGAATAAGAGGGAAAAATTGATCAGGCCAGAGGAAGGGGTGGGTAGGGCAGTTTCAGGAGTGACTCCACAGCAGGTGAGGGAAATGTGGACCATTGCGGAAGTGGAGGGGTGGCCTTGGGACGGGTACAGAGGGGGGTAACCTGAAGGCAAGCAGACTCTCCGACTAAATTTCAGGGTCCGTGAGGGACCTTACTTGGTGCCTCATAAATACTAACAATACCTGTTTGTTTTTTTTTTCCTGGGAAGATGGAACATAAAAAGGGATTTTAAAAAAATGGGACAATGAAATAACCATTACTGAGCTTAGCTTACCACAACTTATCAATCTTTACTTTTATAGTTAGTGCTTTATGTATTCTGTTTAAGTGCTAAGCTTAATTGCTTTATCTCTGTCTTCACCACAGTTAGACAAAGTAGGCATTATTTTCCCATTTATGAGTAAGGAAATGGGGGCTTCGAGAGGTGAAGCCACATAGCTAGTGAATAGTGGAATTGGGAGTCAGATTTGGGTATTTCTGCCTCCAAACCCATTTCCCTGCACTAGAGCATACTGCTTTAAGTGGAATGGAAAGCTTAATTATATTTTATGTAGAAGATATTTAAACTTCAAAATTACTCTCTCAAGTGAAGAGAAAACACTAAGAATTCATGTATTAACTTTGGGAGGTTATCAGAGAAGTATATGGTCTTTTCTGAGTACATTAAAGTGATTTTTTGTGATGATGAGCATTTAAAAGTGAACAATGATACATAGGCATATTTAAATACTGCATTAGAGCTTTTAATTAATATTTTACAGTAATTTTTCTGTATTTTTTCTCCTAGATATTGAAATACTTCCTGAGACATTTCTTAACATTGAATCTAAAGATAACAGATTACAGAATGTTAAAGTGATTCTGCTGCTCCCCCGTTGCTCAGGGCTCGGTATTAGTAATCCGGTAGAATTTATTTTAAATGAGCATGAAGGTACTTGTTTTGATGTTTAAATTCTGAATTATGGAAATGTATTGATAACTTAAAAACAGAAGTATTTAAAGTCATTAAAATGACACATTGTTGTATCTGAGTAATGAATAACTCCCATATATACTATGTGTAAAGTACTTTATATTTATTACCTCATTTAATCCTTAAGCCAATCCTGTGAGATATGAACAAGGGTGAGGGTGATATTTGAAATATTTAATAATTGGAATCATGTAGGCAATCAGAACAGATGCTGGCCAGGGTGCTATTCTGGCACAGTCCAGTGCCCAAGTTATGGACCTTACAATTTATCAACATTTTATAGATGAAAAAGCTGAGACTCAGAAAGATTCATTCATTTTCATAATGTCACACATCTGGTTAGTAGCAGAGCTGGGATTCAGATTTGGAGCTGCCTGATTCTAGAACCTATAGTCTGAACACAATCCTAATTCATCGTAATCAGAGTATTTCAAATGCATGATTTCCTTAACATGTATGTTTTGTGATGTGAAAACCTCAGATTAAATATTAATTCTAGGAGTGTTTTATTTGCTTCTTTAATACATTTCAAAATATGATTTAACATGAACATTTACTGAACACTTACATGTAAGGCACTGAGCCGAGCACTCTACTCGATTGCTTCACTGAATCCTCACAAGAACTCAAAGAAGTCGTTACTCTTACTGTCTCCATCTTACAAATACAGAATCTGAAGATTCTGTAGAATCCAGAACTTAGAGTTTGAAGTCCCCCGAGTCACTTGACCGATAAGTGTTAGCCGGATTCAAACACAACCTTTTCAACCCCAAGGCTGGCGCTCGGAATCACTCTCTTAATCACAGAACATCGCACACATCGACTGAAACTGACTCTTGCTCTAGTCCCTTGTTAGTACAGAAAGGCATAGATACAATTAACTAGAGTATTAGACAAAGACGACATTCCACAGACACTCAGAACAGTGAGTAACAGTTTTCTCTTTCTAGCAAGGACATAATGAAAAACAGAGAAAAAGAAATGACAGGAGAGAAACTAATGTTGAGCAAACATTAGTGATTGAGTAAAATGTGTCCCAGTCAGTATTGTAGGTAGTGTTCATGCACTATCACTTAATACTCACAGTAACGTTTTGAGGGTAGTATTATTTTATTATCTTTATTTTACAAATGGGAAAAACTCAAGACTCAGAGAAACTTAGCAACTTGACTGAGGTCATGTAGGTAGCAAGGAAGGAAGCTGGGATTTAAACTCAGTACCTTTTCTTTACTTTAAACTACAGGCTTTACCTGGACTTCCACTGTACCATGTGGAATTATGACCTGGTGTAGAAAATGTCTTTCCAGTGAGGGTCAAACAGAAGAATAACCAACTCCCATGGGAACATAATAGGCCGAGAACATTCTTATACTAACTTTGGGAAATGACCAAAGATGAATGAGTAGGCACTGAGAGCTGAGAAGGAATAGCAGCTACAAGCCTTACCCTGGGCCATCTTGAAATGGGAAGCAGAACTGAATAAGCCATGGGTAAAAGTAAACTAGAAGCTGGGAGAACAGCCCAAAGGAATCTACAGCTGATGGAAAGGAAGAAAGTATAAAGGTTCCCAGGGGTTAGTAATGTTTTGAAGCAACAGTATAAGGCAACGAGTGGTTTGTGGCAAACCTGGAATAAATGAGAGCTTTTAAAGGAAACTGCACTCAGAGGAAATAACAGGCAGAGCACAGACGGAGCTGCTGACCTAATGAGTGTGGTAGAAACAGTAGCCATAAATCTAGGGGGTGAATCCAAAGGATTATTTTACCAGGGTTGGATACGAGGTGGAAGAGAACAATCATGAATTCATTTTAAAACACATTGTAACATGGAAAAGTATTTGAGCCATTGAAGAATATATGAAGCTGGTCATTGCTAACAACTTGGAATTATTTTTAGATGGGATGGGAAAAGTAACTGATATGGTTTAAGAGTATAATAATGGATAAATAGTCTTTAAAAAAAGTGATAGGTAATTTTGCAAATAGATAGAAAAATGTGAAGTGTAAAAAAACCCTGACTTGAAAAGATATGGAGTTTAATTAACCTTCAGTGATATTACTGGAATGGGGAAGAGCCAAAAATGTGGTAAAAACAATGGGCTCTTATAGTCTAGGAGAATTACTGAGAGGAGAAGAATATAGAGGTTAGAATTTGGGCTCTGTGATCCAATTTTGTAGCCACGATTTTGGCTGTACATTAGCAGCTATGTGACCTTACACTAGTATCCTTGTGACCTTAGGCAGATTGTTTCATGTATATTTAAACAATTTTTTCAGTGTTAAAAGGGTTGTTGAATAAATCTCTATAAAGTAACATTAATAGGTCTTTGTTAGCAATGTCAAGACATATGTTAAAATCAGTTTCAGAAATTAAAGTGTTACTGCAAGAGTTTCTTGATCTATTATGAAGACATACATTTGCTATTCTTTTTTTTTTTTTTAAGATTTTATTTATTTATCTTTAGAGGGGATGGGGGGAAGGAGAGAGGGAGAGAAACATCAATGTACGGTTGTCTTACATGCATCTCCTGCTGGGAACTGGCCTGCAGGGAACCGGCCTACAACCCAAGCATGTGCCCTGACTGGGAATCGAACCGCGATTGTCTGGTTCGCAGGCCCGCACTCAATCCGCTGAGCTACACCAGCCAGGGCTACATTTGCTATTCTTCATTTTTTCCTTCCAAAATTTCTTTTGGTAACTTTATTTGTAAAGTCATGTTCTTCTGAGTTCTTTCATGCTCAGTCTCTAGACTGACTGCACTCTTCTTTTCTATACCTAAATGACTTATTTGGCTAGTTGAAGGAGTATCTCATCAGAGCTTGGAGAAAAAAAATTAAACAAAATTACCTTTATCAATTTAGTTTTTAATATTCAAGTCAGTAAAAAATATTTGTCATTTTTAAATTGCTCAAGTGTTTTTATTTATTTATATTTATTTATATTTATTTTAAATTACATTTATTTGGGTAATGTTGGTTCATAGGACCATCCAGGTTTCAAGTGTACATTTCTATGACAGCAGACATTTTTGCAATACTATTTTTTTAGTGTTGATATTTTCCATGAAAACTCTATTAATAGAGAAAATGATCAAAATGTTAAATAATGTGATGATAGCAATTATGGAAAACAGCTAATAGTGATATAATTAAAGCATTTATTTGCTTTTAGATACAGATTTACTTAAAGATTTCTCTCAAGGAGGCACATCAGAAGATAAACTTAATGTTCTCGTCCAACAGCAATATAAACAGCTAACACATGCGATGAAGTGTAAGTTCAATCTTAAAATGTGTTGTAAATCTTAGAAACATTAATATATTATTTCTCTATTCTAGGCAGGCAATGAGGTATGAACTATAAGTGAATTTCCCAGAACACTCAGCATCTTCAAGTACCAGAATATTTATTTTTACCAATTTAAGTCCTTTAAAAATATAATACTTTATTATCATTTTTAACAGAGGTTAGCAGGCATGATGAACAGTTTCTTAATGCTGAAGTGAAATATGACATCCATTGCTGTACAGTTGCACCTTCTCTATTTCTTTGCTTGGGCTTATTTGATGTGATTTTTCTGTTGTCACCGTGCCTGCCCCTTACAACTCTCAAACTCTTATTTCACGTAGAGCTAAATAGAGAACAGAGAGGTGCAAGTCTGTGTAACAAGGCTCTTTAAGTATTTATACTATTGCTTCAATCACTGCATTTAGATTTGAGTACCATTTAGATTCTGCGTATACATGGATGTGGAAATCTAAAAGTCTCTGAGAAATGATATACATTTTTATTAATTCAGCACATGTCTGTCAAATGCCTACTCTAGGTCAGGCATTAAGCTAGCTGTTGGCATATAAGTGTGAATAAATGCTGATCTTCAAAGGCTCCAAGGTAAGTATAGGTATTGCAGAACAGAAAGAGTTCATATACCTGACACAAGCAGAGCCAAACGCTAGACACCGAGAACTTCAGTGGAGAGATATTGGCTACTTTATTGATAAATGGCACCAACCAGGAGGATAGGAAGCTGATGCTCAACAGTCCAAATTCCTTGATGACATACAGGTGACAGATATGGGGCAAGATCTCAAGACCCTGTGGGTTCCAGGTCATGTTGGGAGCTGACTGATTGGAGGTGACGTAAGGGTAGAGAATCATTTCTTAAGGTCTTGAGAACAACTCTGAGGTTTTTTCTGGTGTCCCTGTGTCTGATTTCATGGGAAAGTAGGGGTTCCTTCTATCTTATGGCTCAGGAGCTGCAACCTGACTTAGGCCAAGAAACTGCGTCTAGCCTGCCAGAGGCCCACCCGTGTGCCCATCAGTCAGGTCCCAGCTGCCGCCTTCTGCAGCCTCTGGACTGCTGGCTCTCCAGGCGAAAGCCTAGGCCTCTAAAGGGTATGTATGCAGCAAAAGGATATGATTTCTAGAACCAGGACTTAAAACCAAATTTAATCAAAGTTATAAGGACCCTCCATTTTTTAGTACATAAAGATACAGCATACATGAGGTAGCTATAAAGGAAAATGTGAAGCACATCAAAAGGTCCACCTTTTTGATGCTACTAACAAACATTAATTTAAACATGATAATTTTGTATATGATCTATGAAGCAAGTTGGTTGGAAGATTAGCAAGTTGGTAAATATTTTTTGATGCTTTCTCTGACTACTCTGTTTAAAATTACAGTATCATCTCCTGAAACTAGACATCCTCCATTCCTGCTGTGATTTTTTTATTAGCATTTATCAACTCCTGACAACACTATATAATTTTCCTATTTATATGTGTCTTACCATGTCAATAAAACATAGAAAGTAAGCTCCCTAATAACAAAGATCTTTGTCTGTTAGACAAATGGCTAGAACAGTGCCTACCACATAGTAGGTGCTTGATCAATGTAAATAAATGAGTTGCAGGTAGTAGCATTAGCTCATTGTAAAGATGAAAAATCCGAGAGTTCAAGTCATTTTCCCAGGTGCACACGGCCGTAAGTAACGAAACTGAGACCCACATCTATGCCTGTTTCTACAGTCCTTTTAGCCAGTTATGTGACGTGGCTTACGGGAACATGGCTGGAAGTAAAAGCTCTGGGTAACTTGCAGCATTTACTCTTTTTGTTTGGAACTAGGTTGGTCACATCGATTCAATTTCCATATAGTCTGGTTAGATTCGCTTCACTCACTGGCCGCAGACTACATAGCTAGTATGTACTCCATAGTATGGAGTTAGTATGTGTTCGTAGAGGGCAGCCCTGTGAACTTCTATGGGAATCACTGTCTTCAAAGCCGTGCAGTATTGTACAAACGGACGCTTGGAAACACAGCAAATTTTTGTCAAACTGTGAATGGGGCACTACGTTAATCACATCTTCTTTAAATATAGTTACTAAAGCTCAAGCGGTTGTTTACTGCACGTGTTCAGTTTATCCAGAAGAGAATGAAGCTGTCGTTAAGAAAGCACTGGAACTTCAAGCCCTTGGGACTAAAGTACAACCTTATCGGTAAGAAAGGGCAGGAATGAATCTTCTAAACAACTCAACCAAATATTTTTGAAAGTGAAAACATGATTTTCTAAGTTATATGAAGACATCCCATTTCCTTTTTGTTAGACTTTAATATGCCCAAAGAGTGCTTCTCCTTAAAACTTTTTACAGTGGCTTGGTACGAGCATTCTCTTGTACACTAGATTCCTGTTGTTATTGCTAATGCAAAAGCCATTACGGCCCGTCTTGATTGGTTTCTGGAAAAACTGAGTCTAAACGTTATATCCTGACATTAGACACATCCATGCCACAGTATAAGAAAAATAAGTATATAAAATAACCCGAGAAACTAGAGAGAAAATTGGATGTTTATAATCTGAAAACATACATTCCTTATAGCCTTTGGCACCCACAAGGACCAAGGTAGAAGTAGCCTCTGTAACTACAGTAGCTTCTGGGTGAGACGCTGCAGTGCATTAGGAAGCAAGACAAAAACCATTGACACTGCAGCTGAGTGCAGACATCAGGGTGAGGAGTACATCCAAGTCTGTGACACCGGTTACTCCTTCACCACGACTGTGACAATTAATAAGGTATTTAAAACCGTTTCCAACTTTTTACTCATTGCTCAGGTTTTGAACTTTTCCTTTAATTCTTGTAGGAGGTTCTTTTTTTTTCTTCGAGATTTTTTTAAAGTATGTTTCATTGATTATGCTATTACAGTTTTCCCAATTTCCCCCTTTATCTCCTTCTTTCCTGCACCCTCGAACCCTCCAGCATCCCCTCTCCCTTAGTTCATGTCCATGGGTGGAACTGAAGTTCTTTGAGTTCTCTGTTTCCTATACCATTTTGACCTCTCTCCATGTATTTTATACATACCAATTATGTTTCTTCTTTCCTGTATCTTTTCCCCCCTCCCCCCATTCCTCCCTTGCCCCCCTACCCAAAACCCTCCATGTGATGTCCATTTATCTGATTCTGTTCCTGTTCTAGTTGTTTGCTTAGTTTTTGTCTTTGTTGTTTTTCTTTTTTTAAGATTCAGTTGTTGAGAGTTGTGGGTTTGCTGTCCTTTCACTGTTCATCTTTTTAATCTTATTTTTCTTAGAAAAGTCCCTTTAACATTTCATATAATAATGGCTTGGTGGTGGTGAACTCCTTAAACTTGACCTTATCTGAGAAGCACTTTATCTGCTCTTCCATTCTAAATGAAAGCTTTGCTGGATAGATCAATCTTGGATGTAGGGTAAGGTCTCTTGAGAAATCAGCTGACAGTCTGATGGGAATTCCTTTCTGGGTGACTGTCCCCTTATCTCTTGCTGCTTCTAGGATTCTCTCCTTCATTTCAGTCTTGGCTAATGTAATTATGATGTGCCTTGGTGTGTTCCTCCTTGGGTCCACCTTCTTTGGGACTCTCTGAGCTTCCTGGACTTCCTGGAAGTCTATTTCCTTTGCCAGATTGGGGGAGTTCTCCTTCATTATTTGTTCAAGTAAGTTTTCTACTTGTTGCTCTTCCTCTTGTCCTTCTGGCACCCCTATAATTCTGATGTTGGAATGTTTAAAGATGTCCTGGAGGTTCCTAAGCCTCTCCTCATTTTTTTGAATTCTTGTCTCTTCATTCTTTTGTTTGGTCATTTTTTTCTTCCTTCTGGTCTACTCGATTAATTTGAGTCCCAGTTTCCTCCTCATCACTATTCGTTCCCTGTGCATTTTTCTTCATTTCACTTAGTGTAGCCTTCATTTTTTCATCTAATTTGAGACTAAAATCAACCAGTTCTGTGAGCATCCTGATTACCAGTGTTTTGAACTGTACATCTGATAGGTTGGCTATCTCTTGGTCGCTTAGAAGTATTGGCTCTGGGGCTTTGAGCTGTTCTTCTTCTTGAGCCACAATGTTTTGGTCTGTTTGTGCCTGTTACGTATGAGGAGCAGAGCCTTAGGTGTTCACCAGGGCAGGGTGACCCAAGTTGCTGGGTTGTGACGCTGTATGTGGGGCCAGGGTCAGAGAGGGGCAGTGGTGTTTTTCTGCTCTCTCTCGGATTTCAGTCCCCTCTGCTGCTTCCCACAAGCAAATTGGGCCCTTCTGGTGCTGGTTCCCAGATGTGTGTGCTTGTGCACCCTCCAGGACCCTGTGGGTCTCTCCAGTGAACTCTCTGGGAGCCTGGGAGCCTTTCCCAGCACCTTGACCCCCGAAAGTTTTTCCAATTGGTGCTTTTAGGCTTTATTCCCCGGCACTGGGGCCCTGGGTTGCACAGTTTGTCTCACTGCTCGCTCCTTCGCCTGGTTTATCTGCCCGGGAATGTGTGACTGTGGTCAGCCAGCTGCTTTGCGCCCTCACTGGGTCCGCCTGTTGCCTGGGTTGGTTCAGCCGTTTTTTCCTGCGCGACACCCACCCCCTCCAGCCGCTGACTCGGCCCCTCTTACCGCGGTCTGGATGAATGGTTCGTTGTTGTCGGACTTCGGTACAGTTTAATTTTCTCTCTGTTCTGGTTGCGTTCTGGTTTTTAAATCTTTGTTGTTCATAAACTTGGTTGTGCGAAGAGGCACAGTGTTTCTACCTATGCCTCCATCTTGGCTGGAAGTTGGAGGTTCTTAATATGCATATGATTTACTTCCTTCTTTTAACTGAATATTTTTCCTTTGCCCATTCACAAGTGGACATGTTAATCACACCTATATTTCCCTTCTTGTTTTACTTCCTTAGTTAGTAACTCCTGTTGGTGGCTAGCATTCAACTTTATGTTCTGAGTGATTCTCGACATAGTGTTAGCTAAATTACCACCTAGTGGCAAAGAGAATTATTGCAGGTGTGTAACCAAATGCATCAGTGCAGATGGTTCTTCATTTGGCAGGAATAAGGTTTCTAAGAATATAATATGGCAAAAATGGAAGGACATCTGCATTTTATTTCACTAGGTTTTATTTTAGGTAAGCAATTATTGATCTATAATATGGTGTAAAATACACAAATGATACATATTTAAGGACATACTGTAAATACAGAATAATCTGAGATTTGGGTTCAAATTAAAAACTATATATTCAAGAGGTTTGTGAATACTTGTTGGGGTTACTGTCAAAAGAATTGCTCAGGGAAGTACACTATATGGCCTCTAAAAATTATTTCTTAATTCCCAAAGTAGCAGACTTTAGAGTGGAAAGCAGTGTTATATACCATCTAATCTGATCACCTGTTGCTAACTTTTAACATCCCAGAAAGCACTGCCTCATTTTGGACTCGGGTGTCATCACACTTGGTCAGTACAACTTTTTTTGCTTGCCCCTATTGTAAAAACTTTGGTTTTATTTCATTACAGAAATACTAACTTAAAAAGAATAAATTTTTCCAAATCTTACTTAACTATTTTTAACAGTTTGAGAGGGCTGTGCACACTTAGAGTTTTCATTGGTTTTGTCAAACTTCCCACCAAAATATATACTTTTATAAACTTATTTCCCCACAGCTTCACAAATGCTAGGTTTTATCAGACTTTAAATCCTCACCAGGCTGAGGTGGAAGGATGAGATCTCATTGTGATTAGACTTTACTTCTCTATTAATGAGTTTGGGTACATGTGCCGTTTCCCGACCGGGCAGTGTGCTGTGGGGTAGGTAAGAGCGAGGCTGCTAGAGCAGTACACTGCAAAATTCTTGTAATGTTGGAAAAAACAACTTTCCAAATACTCCCCACACATTTGAAAATAACTGTGTAACTTCTTCTATGTTTTAAAGTTGATATCTAATATTCACCGTAAGTTTAAGTAGTTGTTAAATATAGTATTTCTGCAATGTTATGTTACACATGTGATTTAAATATATTTGTTAAATCTTTGTATCTACAAATTTATCTTATTCAATTTATGGAAAAATGATGAATTTGTTACCTTATTTGACAAAGCTAGTTCTCATTGTGAAAACCAGATTGACGCTGTCAGAAAAAGTGTGAGTTTCTAAAATTCAAACAGACATGTTAATATGCCCCCGTGAGTTTCCTGTAAGTTTCATTGAAGATAGATGCGTAGAAAAAAGGAGGTGGGCAGGGGGTGGGGAGAAAGAGAGTGGGGACAGAAGGAAGTAAGTTCAAGAACAGAGCTTTTTTGGTGTTTGGTATCCTCTTCAAGATTTCTTACCTAAACTCTACTTTGACTCCGGAGAAGAGAACCACACTCTTGAGTTGTACCATTCTAGAGATATTAACACCCCGGGAGAAAGTGCTATAACAAGGTCGGTGCCTTTTCTTGTGCAGTGGGAGAAGGGTGTTGTGAAAGGAGAGGGAGGGAAGGCGGCTGTGACCCTTGGACCATCCCTGCCTCCCTGGGTCTTTGAGGGACCGAATGAGTATCTCACTACCTGAACAGTGCCTGGCACATAACAGATGTTCAGTAAATGTAGCCTGTTCCTGTTCTGTACTGCGTTTTCAACAGTGTCATGCCTCTTTTTCTATGTCTTGTCATTGTATATTAGGGAGATTAGCTCTTTTCATATGAACCGCAGATATTTTTAAATAAAAACTTTGATTAAAAATTGCTTTACATAGAAATCTCCAATTTCTGTGTAGACAGTTGCATCAGTCTTTTCTTTATGGCTTGTGTGATACTGACCCTCAGTTTATATATTTTTTACAAGTTTTCCTTTCATATTTTTATATTTAAATAATTGATTCATCTGCTATTTATTTTGGTAAAGGAGTAAAGTACGAATCATGCTTTATTCCCCCTCCCTCACCAACCCTTCACTACTCCCCCCATTGACTTAAATGCCACTGTTTTTATATGTTATAATCCCGTATATGTTATAGTTATGTGAGTCTGTAACTCTATCTTACTCTGTTGATGTTTGGCTATTTCTATAATAATATAACAATGTTTTAATTATAATTTCAAATGGTTTTCTTCTCAAATTTTACTTTTCTAAATTGCCAAAACCCCTACCTATATTTGTGTATCTAATAAAACAATCCAAAGATGCATAATGAGGTTAATAATTTTCTTCCTATTACTCTCCACCTCCAAATCCCAGCATGTTCAGCACTGGAACAGGGTCCTGACAGTCCCTTGATGAGCAGGTGTAACCCTTTGCTCCTTTCTCTTCTGTGAAGGTCTGGAGGGGGCACTAGGAGAGCAGGGGCCACTAGAGGGCACCAGAGTAACGATATTTAACCACTGGTACAGCCATACCAGTGTGGACCAGTTGAGTGTCAGCCCATGAGTGTGTGTGTGCAGGCATACCTCAGATACACTGTGGACTCGATTCCAGAGCGCCGCAATAAAGCGAGTCGAAATCTTTTCACCGGTGGAGGGTATTGCTTTCAATTTGTAAATAACACAACATCTGTGGAGCGCAATAAGATGAAGCACAATAAAACGAGGTGTGCCTTTACCTATTGTCACAGATAATACATACACTAAATATATGGAACTCTTAATTTAATAATGTTTTACCGAATTTATTTGGATAACCTTGGTTAATAAAATTATATAGGTTTCAGAGGTACAATCCCATAATACCTCATCTGTACATTGTGTTGTGTGTTCACCACCCCAAGTCAGGTCTCCTTCCAACACCATTCATCACCCCTTTGTGCTCTCTGCCTGCTCCCAACCTCCCCTTTCCCTCTGGTAATCATCACACTGTTGTCTGTCTATGCTATTTTAATAAGTTTAAAAATTGAAATATAATTCACAAACCATAATTCATCAAAGTGTATGATTCAGTGCTTTTTGGTATATTCAGAAAATTGTGCAACCATCAGCACTAATTCCAGAACATTTCCATCACCCACCAAGCAGAAACTCAGTATCCAATAGTCACTTCTCATTCCCGTTCCCCTAGCTCTTGTCAACCACTAATCTACTTTCTGTCTCTATGAACCTGTCTATTCAAGACATTTCATTTAAATTAAATTATGCAATGTCCTAATATTATCAACTCAAAAAATTATCAAATGTCATCATTAAAGTCAGGTGTGAGATTCTAGATATGAACTTATTTTACTGTATAAAGAAATGGGCTATAAACTGGGGTGTGGAAATCATTTTCTTATGTAGAGGCAGGTTCTGTAAGGTAACTTGACCAACCTTAATTACGGATTACCTCTACCATTAAAACAAAGCTTATATGGCCCTGGCTGGCATGGCTCAGTGGAGTAAGTGCCAGCCTGTGAACCAAAGTGTTGCTGGTTCGATTCCCAATCAGGGCACAGGCCTGGGTTGTGGGCCAGGTCCCTAGTTGGGGGCACATGAGAAGCAACCACACATTGATGTTTCTCTCCTTCTTTCTCCCTCCCTTCCCCTCTCTCAAAAAATAAATACTTAAAATCTTAAAAAAGAGCATATATGTAGTGAAAATGTATCATAGTCTATCAGATAAATATTTATTAATACCTGCTATGTGCTAGATACTCTTCCAGGTGCTAGAAATATATCGGTGAATTAAAACCGACAAATCCCTGCTTTCATATTTACATTGTGGAGCTATGTTCCAAATTGGTAAGAAACAATGATCTTCCGAGTATTCTTTACTAATATATAAGTAAAAAAACTTTTAAATTATTTCTATTTGTGTAGAGAATATATAAGAATAGACCTCAGAAATTCAATTTGTTGGTTACAAGGTTCGTGAGAGGAGCAACTAGCTCTCTTGCCTTTACAACCTACACAGCAGTTACTATATTTCAACTCAGTTCAGCATAAACACTTATTAAATCACCACCATGTGCCAGATGCTTTGCGTGTCACCTGAGGTCATGTGTGTTTGCCCACACTTGAAGTGACCTCTCCATCCCCTTACTCACTTTATGCCCCAGACACATGGAAATACTTGATGTGCGCCCCCTACTGGGGGCCTGACCTGGTCCGCAACCCAGGCATGTGTCCTGACTGGGAATCCAATCAGATACCCTTCAGTTTGCAGGTCAGTGCTCAATCCACTGAGCCACACCAGCCAGGGTGAGAGTTTGATATTTCTGACATGAAGTCTTCATTATGTACTTTCTTGAACACTACATGATTCATCCATTAATACTCAAAAAGTTACTGGGAAAAATGTAGTTAACAATACTAAACCAAATTTTTATGTCCTAATTGTGCAAAAAGTAACCGAAAGAAGGAAGCCAGTCAGACCTTTTGTAGTTTGACAACATGTAGAGGTACAGAACACTCTGGATTGCATTTCTGCGATTACTACACATAGTGACCTATATTGGTTATGGGAGCCTTTTTGTTAACATATTAATGACTTAGGTAAGAGTTTTTAATTTGCTGAAAGGTTGGTATTCTTGGCATAGTTTTTTAAAATGGACAACTTGGGAAGTAGAATAAATGACAAGTTAACATTAGAGTTTTTAAATTATAATAGTATTGTACAGCTTTGGGGTGTTATCCTAATTTGCAATTTGTGTTGATATGGCTGGTAGAACATAATAGAAGAAAATTTGTTGCAATTTACTGTCTCCCTCCATTGGCAGATCAGCCTTTCTAACTATAGACTGTTTGCTCGTGTCCACTGCAGGCTCAGTCCTCCTGTCCTTCCACTGTGCTCCTTAAAGGACATACAGTTGTCTGCTGACAAGTTTTTCAGAATGGAACCGTCTGAAATTACCAATGCTTGTTTCCTTTCTGTTCTTACAAGGGAGGTAAGGAAAAAACTCCCTTATATCATATCATATCATATCATATCATATCATATCATATCATGTATCATATCATATCAAGGCATGTCATATCTTGTCATTAAGAAAAAACAAAGTCTCAGGAACTTTGTGAGCATGATGTTCTGGTGTGCTTGTTTTATGTTACTAAAGACAGGAATAAGAATTATTACTGTGTGGCCAAAGATAAAAAAGAGAGAGAGAGAGAGAGAAATTCCTGCCTTTATCTTTATACTTCTACTGAGTGTTCTTTGCTCGCCTGATCTCCACCCCTACTTCTCTAAGCACTTCATCGTGTCAGTTGTTCTTATATATTTCACATGTAAGAAATAAGCTCTGTAGGTCTTTTCTTTCCTCCTGTCACTTCATAAACGGGGAAGTTTAAGTATAAAAAAGTCATTTGCTGAGGCTTACGGGATATATTAGGACTAAGACCTAAAACCCTCTTCTTTTACTATACTATATTCTTTTGCTTCTTGTGAAAGACTGATAAATATCTGTACCATACACACTAAGCGCCCACATTTAGCAATGGCTTCTCTGTTGCAGCGGGACCCATCTGAGACGGTGTCCGTGAAGGACGTTTTGGCCCGCGCTGCAGCAAAGGGTCTACTGGACGGGATTGAGCTGGGTAAACCTTCAAAACGGGAGAAGAAGAAGAAATCAAAAACAACACTGCCAAAAGCTTCCGCTACTAATACTAACAGCATTCAATTGAAAATTGCTGCGTTTCTAAATCAAGAAACTAATGCAACTATTAATCAGTCAGAGACGTCAACAACGAAAACACCTCTCGCACAGAAAAGTGCAACTCAAGTGGGTTCTTCCTCACAGGTCAGAAAAACCAAGCCTGCCACCAGCCCCTTAGTGCCTGCATTTGTGAAGAACACCCCCCCCTCCAGACCGTATGAACGGCGCTCAAACTTCGTGAGACCTCGCCCAGAAGACAGAATGGTTGTGCTGAAACCCGTAGAGATTGTTTTGCCTCCAGTAATGTTCCCATATTCAACCCCTCAAGGGGTCAGACCTCAGACTCTAGCTCCCCGCTTTTACTATCGCTGGGCTGGACCCAAGCCTGTTATGTCTGGTTACCTTCCCACAACATCATTAACCAGAAAAGGGGAAAAACCTGAAAACTCACCTTCCTCCCTACTCAGACGTCGTCAACCATGGCTTTGACGGTCTTGTATATTTTTTCTTTTTTTTAAAACAGGGGTCAACAGCAGTTGATTTTTTTAGATCTGATATTTCTTTGAAGGTTAGACATTCTTACATAAAATACTGATTCTTTCAGTCACTTAGCATCTTCTAAATGTGATAGTACCTTCAAGAGAATTAAGACAAATGAGAAACAATAATGTAGGTGGTTAAGTAAAGCAAAATTCAGATTTCAACAGCTCAGTGCTGATCTGTTCTAGAATGTTCACTTGTAGACTCAGTTTCAGCTGTTAAAACTAGTCTCTTGTTAACTTTCAGTGTGGACTTAGGACACTGCTTTTGAACATTTTCAGTCACTATCAAGGTTTGCGTGTTTCTTAAATATAAACATATTCTTTCAGCAAGGATGACATGAGTTTTGTAATGTGATTGAAGTTGAGCACGAGTAGGGAGAACAGGAAGCTCCGGAGTCCCAGGTGCGGTAGTTCGGATGTCCGTTTACAGTGAAAACTTTCTAATAGAGGTTCTTCCAGGACCCTGAGCAGACTGAATATAATCAGCTCTCCCTTCTATTTATGCCCAGTACTCTCATTAAAAAAAAGTGACTGTAAGCAAATTTCCATCTAAACAGTAATCATTCTGAGGAAGAGGCAAACTATTCAATACAACTGACACCTATCATTGAAGAAACCCATAAAAATTTGATTCTACTCAAAGATCAGGTCAAATATTGAAATCTACGTCATTTCAAATGGCACACAGTAATCACATTTTGGTAATTCATTTCTGATGCACAATTAAAATATAGCTCTATGTTAATTTTATTAAAAATCCATTTGTCTTGAATGTATCAATTGTCTACCAAGATTTGGTATGATTATCATTTCTGGATCTACTAATTTTCTTCCTTCATGGCAAAAGAAATTGCTTGACTGACATTAATTGAGTAAGTTGCAACGATAAATCCTATTGTTCAGAGACACATTCATAAAGTTTGAATTTAAAGTTCTGTTTTCAGAATCCAGTTGTGTTGAACAGTGTTATGTAAATTTATAAATGTTCAATTTAGGTGCCATGATTTTGGTAGAATATTATCTTCTTCCACATGAATGTTTAGGTCTATTTCAGCTCTAATGTTCTGTTCTTTGTTTTCTCACTTGAATTGAAGATAAAAAATGGTGCATGTCAGTGAAGAAAGGAAACAAAACTTTTTATACTTGAACTGGACATATTTTAAATAGCAAAAAAATTCTCATGTTAATTATGATTCTTAAAATGTACAGAAATATTTTCAATGCTCAGCTTATTTTACTAATTTCAAAAATCAAAAACCATGTATTTCTTTGCTCTAAAAACTATAGTGTTTCACCCTCTTACTCCCACGCTCTATCTGGCTAAGAGGATTCCATGCCACTGGAAGGCCCATGTGGCTGAACCAAACTTTGTTCAGTAAAGAGCTGGAATGCTCTCCCAGGAATCTTTCACCCCATTTCCTACCCTATTCCCCTTGCTCCAGGCTGAAAAGAACTCCCTTGTCCCAAACTAGCAGGTGTGAGATTTTCACGGTAAGTTATAAGAAGAAAACTCTCATTGTTAAGAAATAGTTCAGGAGACTTCTCTGATCCTACAGCAGCATGTGATCCACATCACGTCACTTTAGCTGCCTACATTCAGAATCTCCTGGCATGCAAGCCACTACATTTTCTCTCTGGAAGTATACGGAGATTCTGAATTAAGCCATTCATTAGTTAAGTCTGCAGTTTTCTTCTTTGAGAATCTTCTAAGAAGTACGTGGTCAATTATACTTCGGCAGTCAAAAGAGAAGAGTACTGAAAACAATATTCGAGAAATGTAGTGGAGGAGAATTATTGGACACATTGACATTTTTCTTTCTTGAGGACACATTGACATTTTTCTTTCTTGAATTTCCTGGAGAAGGTGTTGCAGAAACCTAAAATAATAATTAATGGTATTTAGATACTCCAATAGCAAATTCAGATTTTTATCTAAATTTACCTGAAGCAAAAATGAAATTTTGTTCCTTGAGAGTAACTGCCTTTGATAAGAGTATAAGAGCTAAACTATGAATGTGGGAAAATGCAAGATGAGCAAAGAATAGGTACATACTTTAATTTCTGCTTATCTTCTTCCACATGTCTAACTTAAACTAAACCACATTCAACTGGTTTGTTTTCCCAGGTACCCGAGTAGGGATTTAGTGCCTGTAGAATTCTATTCTTCACTTTGATGCCAGGTTCTTGCTAGTTCTTACCAGGTGGAAATATGCAGTAACTAATCAAAGGTGAATCTCGCGTCACTGAAATGATTTTCAGGTAAGAATTTGAAAATAAAATGACTAGCGTGAAGACACTAAACTTATGTTTCTATTCCTGTGTGTATATATACACCTGTGACTGAGACATCAGATAAATGAGTCAAACACTTTATGCAGCTAAGTTTATTCTCACAACATATTACATTTAAATGTGTAAAAGTGGTCAACAGCTAAATGGGCTGAAAGCAAAACCAAATGTTCCTCCAGGGTGAATGAGCTGCTCTGCGGGGCAGGGAGGGCTCTCACGGGTCCAGCGTGAGCAGCATCTTTGCCCCTGAAGCTGAAAGACACTTCATTTTACTGGCTCTGTAGCGCACCTGTTAGCTATGTGTTCGGGGGGCCTGGCAAGCTAACTAGAGAGCGAAGAGTTTTCCTAGTCAAACTGTGCGGATACGAGGGTTGCTTATGAAGTCTTGAATCTGCGCTGCGGTGCCTAGGAAAACAAGTGTCACGCCAGAGGAGGGAAGGCTCAGGGCTTTTCCTGAGTGACCTTCTGCAGAATAATCTCCCCAGCGACCATCCTAAAATCATGAAGTGGGATTTTGAAAAAAGCAGCAGTGCCAACAGGTTATCAGCAAGAGCTTCTTTTAATGGAAATGGTCTAATGTCCCTTCATGCAGGAAGACACAAACAAAAACAATGGTTCTAATCAGCGATGGGTGGACACAGAGGGCAGGTGGACACGTGTCTGCCTTTCAGATGAGACCGCACATGTCGGGACGGATATAAAAACGAAGCACCCTGGCGGTGCTCTAGTTCGCCGAGTAAAAACTTCGGCCACAGGCGTGCTGGCCACTCCCCTTGATGCTGCCGAGAGGAGCGTGTCCATGAGGTGGCGGGTCTGTGTCTATCTGGCTGCGTTTAAAAAATAAAAGAAACTTTAAGCATTTTGCCTTTTCTTCTACATATTCCAATAAAAATGTGGCTACAAATCATTACAAAACCACCTTTTAGGCAATGTATATAGTTCACTGAGAGAATATCCAGTAAAGATAATACATTAACACAATAATGCAGTATATTTCAGTAAAAATAGAATAAATAAAATATTTTAAGCTGTATTTAACAAGTTAATTAAAAAAATGGTAAGACATACAAGGCATCGTGAGCATGGCTGCCTGTTTACCGAATCACAGATAGAAAGAATGCATAGATAACTGAAGAGGCGCTACAATATCGGGTAGCACACCGGCACCCTTTCACGGAAAAGTGCACACACACTTCCATACATACTTTTTGGCCATGGCAGAAAGTGTCTGAACATACTGTTTAACATAGTTATTTTACAAAAATGCATTTAGTATGCAAAGCTATCTTCAAAACAAAGTAGCTGCAGTGAAGTTTTCAATATGGAGAGGCTGTCGTTCATCTGTGTGTCCTCTAATTGCATATGTAAGTCAGTTGGCTACTTAGAGCTAGCTCAGTATTCTTGACCCTGAAAACGACCAAACGTGTGCCTTAAAAGGAACAGGGGACTCTGGTGGAGACTGCCAAGATGAAACTGTATCAGCTGTCAGCGTTTGAGGTTCATCATACTAATATGATGAGGATCACGTGTGGGGATCAAGGTGGAAGGCGATCATCCCTGAATTTCAAACAGCTTTCAAAGGGCACGCTGAGGATTTTCTTAACGCAGTAACTCCTTAAGGTGGTAGTGGCCCAGATACAAGGGTACAGGCTGGTGAGAACTGTAGTCTAGAGTGGCATCTTTTCTGCCCTGACACTAAGGTGCCAGAACATTCCAGGACTGAGAGGGGACAGAGGCAGGAAGGCCGCCGCCACATGGCACATCACCTGTGGGTTGAACAGGCGTTGAACAGGCTGTGGCCTGCGTGTAAACTCCTGCCTTGGCAACACGCCTGACGCACGCTGCAGGAGAACAGTCCTGGGCTGCGAGGAAGCAAGGGTTGTAATTCATACCACTGCGTATGCCCAGAGGAGCTGTGGAAAGATGTCCTGGTGGGCATGGAAACGGCGTGACTTAAAACTGGGAGTTAGGAAGCATGGGCCCTAACTTTCGTGAGACCTGAGGCCAGGTGACTGGGCCTCTGGTACTCTGTGTTTTTATTTCTCAGATGTGTTTAGTACCTTCTCTCCCTTATAAGGCTCTAATGTGGTAAGAATGTGAAAACCGTTAGACAAGTACGTAGCAGAGGATAAACACAGAGCAGTTACTTTTATCACTGTAAAGTGTAAATTTTGACATTAAAAGCAAGACTAAAGTTTAGATTGATCTCTTTTGCAAATCTCTTATAAAATAGTGTTAACAAGGGTCTAAATCTGAACCTTAGAGCCAAGTTTCATATCCAGACGGAGGAGCAGGGAAGCCCCAGTTTGGGGAAACTTATTAAGCAGTACATTGCTCTTATGTACATTTTGCTCTGATATGAAATTGTTTAATCTTGAAAATATAACGGAAACAATATAAATTTAAAAATATATCTAGTGGAGTCCAACAAATTCTAACAGTAAATACATAAAGTCGAGCAGGTTCAATTTAATGTAATTTGTTGCCATGGAAAATACATGATGGACAGACAGCTTCCCGGACAAAAAGCATCGGGGTGAGACTGACCTAGATGCAGAACCCTGGCAGAACGTTTACCTAGGAAGCAGACCAATGACACACCTCGGCAACGACCTACACTAGAGATGACGTTTCCTCAAATGCAAATTGCATATTGGCTAATTACTGAACTAAGGAAAAAAAGCTTCCGAGGAATATTTCATTTTAATGTGGTTTATGTAGAGAATGGCCCTAGTGAACTTCACTTCTCTAGTTGCATTGTACAATATAAGGCAGAAGTTTGAGTATGTCCCATCCAAGATGCATTGTGACTTTGTTAACCTCTTTCTTGATCGGTTTGAAAACCATCGGAAAAGAAAGGCTATTTTTGTTTGATTTTAATTTCTGAAATTTGGTTTGTTTTCAGTTTTGAGTTTCACTTTCTTCCAATATCCCACAAACAGCTGTTTGACGTGACATGAATAAACATGAAACGGTGTCTGTGTGTCAAAGAGCTCGTCATGGAAAGCCACCAGCTGGCCTCCACACTGATGCCAACAGACCAACCAAAAGGTTCAACATTGTGAGTAACTAACACAAAAACTCATCGTCCTAGTTTTACAGCATTTCAGTGGTTTCTGGGACACAGTGTCTACTCCAACGTGGGAAACAGGGCAAAGTGCTGCAGGACGTGAAGTTGTGGTGACAGATCCAGTCGAGAGGACAACGAAACTAACCCAGGCGTCATTCACGCTGAGGACGCAGCATCAGTTCGTGAGGAGGGGTGCGGCCGCATTCTTCTGTGTGTGTGTGTGTGAAGTTAAGTGATATCCACGATATTTACAATAAGAAAAAGACCTTCCACTGCTCATGGTGTAACTTACTGACAGCAAAAAAAAGAAGTCATGCTTCTTTCCCTATCACATGACGGTGGCAAGACAAGAGAACATGCTTGTCTAACACTGTGTGGTTAAGGGTGAGTTCTCTGAAGACAAAGCATCAGCAGCAGCCGAATGGAAGGCCGGGTAGCAGTTCTTCACCGTGAGTGTAGCTGTCCCATCTCCAGGTCAGTGTTACGGGATCCTTTACCATACGCAGCTATGGCGTTTCTGTGACCGGGCGTTTCTGTTTCAAAGTGTCAATGAGGGATAAGACCCCGCGTTTTACATTGGTCGTGACTCTTCTGGTCACGGAGTCCGCTGGCGGAGGCGGCGGCCGCACTTTCTGTGAAGGTGGCCTGGCTACCAAGCACTTCTGGTATCGCAACTGAAATGAAACAGAACACGGTTTACGCCATTAATGACACGCCATCCCTCCTGTTCAAGGTGATTTTAACTGATCGCCTGTGCATTTATTCCCAAAAGTCAACCACCTAGCTCCCAAACAGGAATCCAAGATTTTAGTAATTTTTTCCCTAAAGTGGAGTGTCTTAAGTTTTCTTAAAAGATCGTGAGGCTCGATGAGGGTGCTTTGGCTTTTGCCATCTTTTTCTTCCGCCCCCACGCTCTACCTGTGCTCTGTATTGATAGGCTGCAGTTCATACACCTCACGAAGAGCAAGTCTAAATCGTAGTGGATTAATTTTGAAAAATCCATCAGTACTGGTAACACGAAGTTTCTTATCCTTCAGAAATATGACAGCACAATACACCTGCTTTTGTATTAAGGCAAAGATAAGCAATTCTGAAAAAGAGAAAGGACTGGGGAGGGATTACGCTTTTCCGCGGGGGCGTGGACGAGGTGAGCGCGTGCGGCTGCTGAGACGACCTGGCAGACCGGCGCGGTGTGAAGCTGGGCTCTGCCCCGGGCCGCTGAGCCACTCAGTGACTCTGAGTTACTAACCCTCTGAGCCTCAGTTTCTCCAGTTGTAGAATGGCTGAAGAACGGGGGACCTTCCTTATGACTAAGGCATCACTGGCAGAAAGCCTAAAACAGGCCTGACAGTGCAGAAGGCATTCATAAATGCTTGTTCCCTTCCCTACCTCCTGCTTTAATTAAAAAAGAATGACTAACGAACGGATTTCAGGATACATTTCATATACGAATCTAAATCTTAACGGATTAATTTTTAAAAATCCATTAGTATTGGCACCACAGACAGTTTCCATCCTTCAGAAATATAACATAATCCACCTACTTTTGTATTAGTGCAAAGACATAATTTTTCAAATTTAGATAAAAAGGTTAAAATTTATCAATTTTTTTTCTAATCCAGGCACTTTAAAATATTTCCATGGCTGGTTTTCTAAAAATCCACTTAAATATTAACAAGTTCCTTAGCATACCTATAAAACAGGCTGAAGTTTCCTCCTGAGAAGCATGCACTGTCTTCAGCAAGACTCTCGGTCCCAAGTTCAGTCCTGGCCCACAGGCCACCACAAGGCCGGCCCCCCCCCCCAACCACACGAGAAAATGACTTCTCCGGTGCCTCCTCTGTGCATGGTATCTTGCTAGGCCTGCATCACACACCAGACCACACACTTCCAAAGCTCAGAGTCACACATGGGCAGCCGTGGCAATACCGGACTGGGCCTTCCTAGTGCCCACTAGGTAGGCCCGGCGTGAATCAAACTGCACCCGATGGATTTCACTAAGACTCCCTCTCTGCCTTACTCTAAATTTCACCCAAATAGTTTCAGCTGAGCCTCTCCCCAGGGCTGCAAGATATGCCTACCAAGCAGATTCAAAAGAATGTGTTACCACCCAGCGCAGACATCTGAGATGGTACAAATTCATGCATAGATATTTTATTATTTTTTTTAAATCCTCACCTGAGGATATGATTTTACTGATTTTGGGGGCAGAGCGGGGGAGAAAAAGAGAAAGACCAGTGTGGGAAAAACGCACATCAGTTGCCGCTTGCCTGTGCCCGCACTGCGCACAGACCCGCCACCTGTCTCCGTGTGGGATGGCATTCCAACCTGCTGAGCCGCCCGGCCAGGGGCAGAGGTGGCTCCGACAGACAGCCGCACACGTGAATCAAGAGGAAAGCCTCTGCAATAGAATCGCTGGCTTCAGAGCGTTGAGAAAAGTTCCATCTTTATCAACATGCCTCTTACAGGACTGGTTAAGCCACTTCAGCGGCTGCCCTGATACCATTTAAATCATACGCAAATGAGTAAAAATACTGCTTCTAAGATACAGAATGGATCTGGGAATCAGAAAATGCACCATGGCCAGTGATAAAGCTAATAATTTAATTGTCATCAGCATTTAAAATGAATGGCTGAAAGCCGTTCATTTTATGACTAAAGCCATCTGTTATGATCATCTGCAATTCCATGAAATACCTAAACAGTCATCCTCCATCCTTGCTTGGCTGAACTCTCCCAGTCTCTCTCTCCCTCACACAGCCCCTGCGCCCCATCTCAGCCTCCCACACCAGGGCGGCAGGGCGGCAGGGCGGCAGGGCTGCGGGGCGGCAGGTTCACCTCGTCCCTCCGCCCCGGCTCTGCTCCTTTACACGCAGAACCCTGGCTCCCAGGACGAGGGCAACTGCACTCTGACAAAGGACGGAGGTGCGAGGGAAGCCGGACCACGGGCGCACGCACCAGGCCTTCCCCTCCCTCCTCCCCGCTCCCTTTCAGGGGGGTCTTTCATGATGCACGTCAACCAGCTCTCTTTTCTTGTTCCCCACCTTGGCCATCTGCTGCCCACCTCCTGTCCCCTCGTGCTTAACCTAGCAGCGTGCGGTGTGTAAAGCACAGAACTCCCTCAACCTCTCTACACTCCACCTGTTCTTGGATCACAGCATCTTCTGCCCAGTCCCAAAGTTACTCTAACCCAGCAATTTTCAAGTGCTGTGCCCCAGGACTTTTTGAAACCTGTACCACCTGACTATTTAGTCAGGGGCACCGACCTCTTTGCTCCGAGACTGTCAAATAAAAAAATGACAACAGTCAATACAGCAACAGCCATCCAGTTGTGAGTGAAATCAAAATTATACCTACTTTTTTTTGTCTGATAGGCAAAAGATACATTTTATTTAAAAATACAAATAAAAATATATGTATTTTTAATAAAAAATGTATCTTATTAATTAGTATTTGTGTGCCATGAGATGAAAAAGGTTGAAAATCACCGCTCTAACCCAATTAGCAGGCTAAGCCCTCCAACCCCCCTCCTAATCTACCACCAAGATCTTTCCCCCGACCTTGCGCACGCGTGTGTGCATGTGTGCGTGTGTGTGCGTGTGGATGACTCCATTTCAATCCAGCTTTACTGGTTCATCTCCGTTCTGGGGCAAACGTGCCAGCCCCTCGGTGCTGTGCTTCACGCCACTCACCCTTTCCCGTCCATCTCTGTAAGTGACCGGCTCGCAGGGACCCCGCTCCTCGTTCCTCCCAGTCACTGCTCCATCCAGTGCGGCTCTACGCTTTCAGTTATAACACTTCCGTACTACCAGAATTTTGTTTACATGTCTTCCCCCAGGTACCCAAACTCTATAACGCAAGGATCCTTTCTTAATCCTACTTGAGAACTTCCAGAGTCCAGCCCACAGACGGTGGACTGAATCAGGTGAAGCATCCGTCACCCTCCAGCCACGCAGTTCTCCACACCGACGTTCAGGCCATCCGTTCCTGATTCCAGTACTCACAGCACTGCCCCGGGTTGGATGCTCTGTGGCTCTCATCTGGACCAGCCGCCTGGCCTCCTGGGTGACCTCCCCACCCCAGCCTTGCCCTTTCGACCCATCTTCCACTTTCTTTTCTTTTGCTGTCAACTATACTTTTAAAACCTACTATGGTCAATTCACTTTCCTGCTTCAGAATCTTTGCAGAAGGTACACACCGTGGCCTGCTGTCATGGGCACTTCAAATGTGGACCTGCGTCCTTTCACTTGGTTCCACCGACCCAACCTGCTGTTGCTGGAATAACCGGTGCACCAGGACTGATGCTTATGTTCACGTATGCCCCTCATTTTTACTAGAACTTGATCAGTGCCCAGCATCGTCAGGACTCAGAGGATATCTGCAAAATGAATGTGACAAAGTCTTGGCTCACGCCTGACGCCAAGGGCACTGGCGTTCTCTCCCAGGGCACGTGGGAACGAACTGCACACTCCGCCACCACTCTGTGTCCGGGGGCCCGCTCCTTCCTCTGAGCCTCTGTTTTCTGATCACTAAAACAACAAACAACTACCTAACAGGACTGTTGTAAGGACTGAACTAATAAAAGTAAATAAAATATGTAAGAACGATGCACAAAAACCAACTACCTGAAATGAAAATCACCTTCAAAACATGACACTAAAGTACTGAGCTGGTTCCCAACAGCACCAGCTCACGCGTGACCAGCATATCCTGACCATGTCATGAAATTGATCCGGGATCAAGAACCGAGAGCCCTCTGACCTGTGGTCTCAAAGATCGCACTTTTCAACGTTCCTGTGGAGTCTCACCAAAATTTGCACGTGTCCTCGTTGCTTGACATGGCAAACTTTGTCATGATTGATTCTGTCCACGGGAACGAGTGTTACAAAGCAAAGCACTACTTTCAAGATTGGCTTTTCTCCTTTTGAATCTGCAACTCCGTTCTAATGTACGGCACGTGACACCCCAGCAGGGGCGTGCGGGTCCCGAGCCCCGGTAGAGGCCGACTCACCATGCAGGCGGCCTGCACCGCCTCGGAAACGTTGCCGGCGTTTGGCTCGCACCAGAAGACGTGGCACTCGAAGTGCTGGTTGCCAGTGTCCATGATGAAGGCAAAGGTGTGGATGTCCTTCCCGACGCCCATGAAGGACAGAAATCGCACTCGGCACTCCACTAAGACTTCCTCTTCATTCTGCAAGACACGTCATTCAGCAGCCCACTCTCTCTGGGGAGTCAGGCAGCCGTCACCGACATATCTGGGCCTTCAATCACAGGCTCAAGCTTAGAGTGGCTACCGACAGTATTAAAAATGTATACAGCCAGACTGAATTCAGGAAGCACTCGTATTTTTCTAGAAAGGCAAATATGTACAAGTGACTGGAAAGGCCCTCACTGCCTTGGGCATCTCATTATGGCATTTAATCTTGCTCCGAACCACACACAACTGTGGTGTGTGGGCCGCCCCCTGTTGGCTATGATCCACGCCTGCAAGTTCACCGGGGATGGGACAAAGTCGCGTACACTTCTTACGCCTTGCCCACATGGGACACCCAGTGGCTATAAGCTCATTTGCCCAGGTGAACCCACTGGAAACCCCACAGCACCCAGAGAAAAGGAACCACGGGCTCTCTCCATCCAGTTTTTTTTTTTATTTTATAGCTTTTTGAAAAAGATTTTATTTATCTTTAGAGGGGAAGGGAAGGAGAGAGGGAGAGAAACATCAATGTACGGTTGCCTTCCGTGCGTCCCCTGCTGGGAACTGGCCTGCAACCCAGGCATGTGCCCTGACTGGGAATTGAACCGCGATTGTCTGGTTGGCAGGCCCGCGCTCAATCCACTGAGCTACACCAGCCAGGGCCTCAGTTCTTCTTTACAAGCTAAATGGCATGCTGAATCATGTTTCTATCTAAAACCGTGTAAAATAAAAAGTTGCCAAATCATTTTTTTTTTTACAAACTGGTCCACATGGTATTTGTATGACGCAGTGTGAAGAGTGTTCAGACTGAATCTTCGTGAACACCACGTCCTTTGCAACAACCGTAGGCAATTTTTAAATTAGTATATGCATCCAGTACATCAACTTCGGGACCATTCATGTCTTAAACTATTAAGTATTCCCCCAGGTGCTGGGGTTGTTAACAGGCCAACTGCGCTGGCCTGAGCGGCTGGGAAGTTTTCTCGGGAGAAATGACGTTCAAGTGGAAACCTGGGCCGTGCAGAGGCATGTAGCACTGGAGTGGCACCTGCAGAAACCGGGGCAGCAGGGGCATGACATGTCAGGCACGCAGAGGAAACTCCAGCCCAGCGTGCTGGAGGGCAGGCAGGGTCAACGAGCGTCTTACTCTCCTTTAGAAGCTGACCTGGGCTTGGAGGTGACCTGCTCATGGACAGAAGAGCAGGCTAAGGACTTGTGGTCTTTCCATTCCAGGTCTTCACAGAGGCAGAGAAGGGGTAAAGAGCCTGGAGCCAGACTGCCTGTATTCAAATCCTGGCCATGCTACTTCCGGCTCTGTGACCTTGGGTAGTTATTTAACCTCCCTGGGCCTCAGTGTCTTCAACCATGGAGCTGGGACAATTTGAGTTGAGGTGAACGCTGGCCTATCTGAAGATGACCAGTGGCCCCTGCTACTATCAAACTGTAAGACCTCCCATAACAGAAGCATCTCCTGCACCCCACCCCCAGACAACACAGCCCAGGCAATGGCGGGGCCCAGACAGTGAGTGGCCGGAGAACCACACCATTGGCGAGTTACACTAGTATCAGCCGGGCCCCCCGAGCCCTTGGGCATGTGGGGAGGGAGGAGTCAGCAGCACCAGAACAGAAGCTCTGAGTCCAGAGGAAAGCAGAGGTCCAGACCCAAAGGGCAACATCTTTCTCTTTCTTCGTAATTGTGGGCTATTGTAACCCTAAGCAAACACAGCTCCCCGGAGGTCACACCTTGGCTGCACTTCTAAATTCCTTGGAAGATTATTGTGTCCGAAACCACGCTGTAACCCAGACAGGCTAACCGTGTCTACGACCCTCCTCACCTTTTCACTGATGACAGTCACAGTGGCGTCGGCCACGTTCATGTTCACCGACGGCCAGTCCTCCTTGTTGGATGAGGTCATTAGACTTTCTATGGCATTGTTCAGGGTATCCATTCCTGGATGGATGGAAGGAATCGTTGAAAAGGTCCTAAAGCTATTTCTCACCCTCCGATGGGCCCAGATCACCCAGGAACAGCCACATCCAGGCTGATCTTTTTCTTATAGCCCCAGAAGACATTTCATTTCTCATGTTTGCTTAAAAAAATAAAATGCTAGCGTTTTCAACAGAAAGGTCACAAGGACTGTGATGCAGCGTGTGACGGCCTAATGGGACCACGTGCCCCTTTCTCTTTCTCTCTCCAAAGCTCCCCCAGCCCTGAGTGTGTGAACAGCACTCACACACTGTTTTTCCAAGCACGGAGCCTGGGGACAGGGGACCCAGCTGAAGCCAGCACCCGCCAGAGCACCCCAATCTCTCCCCCTTTTGCTTCCTCACTTCGACCAGGCCACACGTGGGCGGCACCTCACAGAAGTTGTACGGGCTGTTCGATGGGACACTTCCACTGGGTGCTCCCACAGCTGTTTGTTGGGCGAATGGGATGACGACTTTATTGAGATATTAACCATTCACTTAAAGTGTATAATTCATGGTTTTTTAGTATGTTCGCCGGGTTGTGCAACCATCACCACAGTCGACTTTAGAACATTTTCATCAGCCCCTAGAGAAATCCTGTACCGTTTAAGATCCGCCCTCCATTCCTCCCAGCCCCGCAGCCCTGGGCAATCACTGACTTAATTTCTGCCTCTAGAGCTGCCTGTTCTGGATGCGTTATTCAAACAGATGCACAGAGGATGTGGTCCTTTGTGACTGGCTTCCTCCATTCAGCATGACGCTGTCAAGGGTCCCCCTTGTTGCAGCGTGTGCCTGTCCTTCATTCCTTTTTCTTGCCAAATAAAACCCCTTTGTACAGCAGTATTGGGTTCTCCTCATCCATTTGCCAGTGTATCTGGTGTGCATCTACTTGTTGATTATTACAATAATGCTGCTGTGAATGTTCATATACACATTTCTGAGTGGGTGGATGTTTTCACTGCGCTGGGGTACATGCCCAGGGGCAGAACTTCCGGGTCAAATGGAAACTCTGTGTCTAACCGTGTGAGGAACTGCTCGGCTGTCTCCCAGGGCAGCTGCATCACTGCACAGCCCCCCCCCCTCCTGAAACACATGAGAGTTCTGACCACTACACAGCCTCTTCCGTCCAGGTGGAGGCCGCGTAGCAGGCCGCCCTGCAGCCTGCTAAGGCCCAGCTCAGCAAGGTCAGCTCAGCAAGGTCAGCCCCTGGGATGTGAGCTGACTGCCGTGTGGCTGCTTCTGGGCCACAACGTGGAAGGAAAGCATGCGGCTCCCTCAGCCCCGCCTCCCCGGCCACCAGCTGACGGGAACTGAAGCAGCCACCCTGGCCATAGAGACGGACGCCCCACTTGAGAACGGCAAAGCCCGAGGATCATGCTTCTCTGGAATGCTGGGTAAACAAGAAAGACACGCCTGCTTTATTCAAGTCCCTATATTCTGGGGATTAAATGACAGCAGCTTAGCCTGTCCTCATTGTTCTTTTGATTGGGGCTGCCTGTGTGCTCTGGCTGGTGATGGTGTGTGAGTACAAAGGGGTAAGACTCTATAGCCACTCATCTGGGAGGGTGACCACCTCCCATGTGTCCCCAAACACCTGCAAAGTAGAAAGACAAAGGTTTCACTTACCGACTGGTCTGTCCACGGGTAACATGCCCAGGTACTGCACGTGGAACTTCTGCACCAGCTCGGTCTTTGGCGTTGGGAAATCTACTACAGGGAACAAAAGCAACACGTCGTTCTCTGGGGCTGCACCGCACGTGACAAGCAGCCATGACCTTGAGCCACCTGGATGCGCTCCCTGTGCCACACGTCCCATGTCTACAGGTAAATGAGGGCCCCGTTCCCTGTCAGTCCAAGGCCCGTTCAACTGTCATTTCTAGGCAGAAACACATTTGAAATCAGGACCTGGGATTATAGCTGTTATTGTGCCTTTGCTCTGCACTAAGTAACAGCTTTCACGTCCTTTGTGTCAGGTGTGTTTTATGCCCAGATATTATTTAATCACAAAGGGTACAGTCAGGGGAAATAAGTAGACAGAGGCCCCCACCCTAAATATCAGCTCACCTATTTAACTAGCTGTCCCTTACCCCAGGCTGCAGACGAGCAGCTAGAAAAGCACTGAGCGCAGTGTTCTTTAATCCTGTCCAACAACAAACCACATGGTGAAGACAAGAAAGTGGATGCGGTGACCTACCTTGTAAGGGAACGTCAAGGTTCACGTTGGTCCTTTCCTGTAGGGAGCTGCAGGCCAGGGCTTTGGCATTCTTCCGTTCGGCCATAATCTGGAGAAGGGAAAACACAGCTGGGGTGTGTGGTCACGGACCCCTGCCTCCGGCCACTGGAGCCAGCAGAGTGCCTGCGCTGATTTTACTTCCCCGTTACACCAGCTTTAGCCTGGCTGGCCCCCACCCCCATCACTGAGCTGAGTATTCTGAGAACTGTGCTCATTTTCTCTAGGGATAAGAGGTTCATAACCATCCCTCACATAACAGTCTTCTCATCAGTTGAAATCTATCCTTCCATTTGCAGACTCCCATCTTTACTAAGACAACCCATATATGACGTCATGTGTGGGCCTACCGGCCTACTTCGGTCAATGGAACGAAGGAGTGAATGTCCCCCACTGCTTCTGGGTGACAGCTTTTAGGTACTATTTTCAGAGCTCTGGGGACAAAGAACACTGGTCCCCCCGTATCCACAGGGGATCCATACCAAGACCCCCAGTGGATGCCTGAAGCCACGTATAGTACCAAACCCTGAATATACTAGTTTTTCCTATACACACACACACATGCCTATGATGAAGTTTAATTTAGAAATCAGACACAGTAGGAGATTAACAATAAAATAGAACAACTATAATAATATACTATAATAAAAGTATGTGAATGGCTTTGGGGCCATTATTAAGTAAACCGAGGGCCCCTTGAAAACAAGCACAGTGATACCAAGATAGCCTATCTGGTAAGAGGACGATCTACTAAGCGACTAAGGGGCGGGCAGCGTATACAGCATGGAGATGCTGGACAAGGTCCCAGGGGACAGGGCAGGGTGGCAGGACACTTCGTGACGCTGCTCAGAATGATGTGCAATTTAAAATGTATGAACTGTTTACCTATGGAATTTTCCATTTAATCTTTTAAGATTGAGGATGACCAAGGGTAACTGAAACCACAGAGTAACCCCATGGATACGGGGAGAGACTCCTCACTGCCCATGAGACTAAACCCCATCTCTGACATTTACTGGCTCCGTGACCTCGAGCAAGGCCCCGGACCAAGTGTCTCATTTCCTCCACTGTACGTGGGGAGGACACTTATGTCCCTAATAATAATGTTATGTCAGGTCTGAGGATTAAATGTAAACACTCAGAAATATTAGCTGCTATCATGGTCGCTATTCTCGAACTAAATCTGTCAGCTGTCTTTCAAACCGTGTCTTTCCATTAGGAGAGTCATCGCTTTACTCCTGTGTACAGTGCCGTGGACTCAGGGAAAGAAGGAAGCCTGCCCTTCAATGATCCTGAAAGCCACTCCCACCCTCATTCCCAGCCCACGCTTCCCACTGCAGGTGGAACTAAACACACTGCCTCTCCAAGCTCCGCCGCGCCCACCTCCCTCTCTGTGCCCGGCACAGCAGGCACGAGGCTGCGGACAGTGGTAAACTGGAGCGTTTACTGAGCACTTTCTCTGTGCCAGGCTCTGCTCTGGGGGCTCGACATTAGAATACAAGCTCTGCGAGGATGAGATCCACACCCCCCCCCCCGCCTTTTTTGTCTCTGCTGTGTCCTCAGAGCAGTGCCTGGCGCATAAACAGTGCTCAGCTCTATCGGCCGCATGAATGAATGAAGAAAACCACACGTGGGGAGTGTGCTGCAATGCTGCGGAGGTGCGGCCACGCCGCATCCTGTCAAGGTGAGTGTGACTATGGGCTGGGACGAACGTGGGGACCTCTACACCAGCACTCATCCTGCAAGTCCCTGTCCTGTGGGTCACAGCAGCAGGCCAGGGGACTTCTTCTGGGGATGGGGACACCTCCCAGGCTGACCCCTCCCTCCTGCAGGAACTGGCTGGCACCTTCTTTACCGCTGCCGCTCTGACACCAGCCTGGGCCATGGTGGTGACTGCGGCTGTGGCCTGGGCTTTGTTAGCTCAGGAGGAATTGTGAGGGTGAGGCTGGGCCATGATTCCAGCACAAAACCAGAAAGGTGATGTTTGACAGAGATGGTGGCAAAGTCCCAGCTGAAGGAAGTTGGTGACAGTGTCCTGGGGGTTTGGCCAACTATTTGAATGCAAGCCAGCGGGTGATGTGGTTGCTAAGGGCATGAACCACCCCAGTACTATATCCTTGGAGGTCAAAGGACAGAGTAGCCCATGGTCTGCTCTCCTCCAGCTCACTCTGGGAACGTTCATTCGGGGGAACCCACCGAGTATGCTCAGAAGAGGGTGGTCAGGAGCCTGGTACCCACGTGACCTGAAAGTGGCTAAGGAGGGAGGGGAAGGGTTCTGGAGAAGGAAGGAAGGGAGGAGCAGAATGAGTCAATGAGATACCTGTCTGGCGCCTCTAAAGGCACCAGGCCCAATGCACAGCTTCAAATACTTCACATAACAAAGGGCCGCCCTGCAGAGACAAACTGGGGGAATCTTTCTTTGTTTCTATAGGTCACGGATCTCAAGTAAACACACAGAGGTTGCAGAGAGGAAGATTTCAGGTCAGCAGAAGAAAGAACTCTGTGACAAATCCACTCAGTAGCAGAACAGGCTCTTGAAAGTACAAGAGCCTGTTGAGGGAGGTCAAGTCCATGGAAGTGCTGGGCAGGGGTGGAGGTGCTTGTTTAGGGTGGGCGGGAGGGAGGGAAGGAGGGAGGTTGCACTGGCGATGCTCGACCATCTGTTCTCATTCTGAGGCTCTGTGATTCTGGTTTAGGAAGTGGGCCCCTTACCGGTGTGAGATAGTGACCACAGCCCTGCCTCACAGCTGGTCAGTTCCGATGAGCTATTTAGTGTCCTCAAGGAGTTGGTGTGTGTTCATGGGAGCCCCCAGCTGCCTGCATTTCCAGAGAGACCCCAAGTGGCTTCTCACCACCCTCTCTTCTGTGCTCCCTGTCAGATCAGGTGGCTCTGGTGCTGGGATCGATTTACGCCTTCCCAGCACTGCATCTGCCACTGTTCTGTCCACCTGTTACACCCCCAGCCTGGGCGGGACTAAAGCTCTACTCATTTTACAGATGGAGCACCACTGACGGCAATGCCTGACATGCCGCCGGCTGAACAAACGGGCTGCCTGCCTCTCGGGAGCTCAAATGCAGGCCAACGGCACACGACCCCACCCTTGCACGTCCCGGTCCCCGCGCAGCAGTGAGAAAATAAGAGAGGGAGGAACCGCCGTGCCCTGACCCACCTTACCTTAGAACAGATTTCGTGGAGACTTGTGGCGATGGCTTTTGCTGGTGTATCACATCGAAATACATGACATTTCAAAATTCTTGTATCTTTGTCTCTTGCTACATAGGCAAAATCTCTGTGCAAACAAAAATGTATCAGTACATTACAAAAAAGAACATTTACCAACCAACATATTCTGGTGATGAAGGTTAACTGAGCTAGCAGCCAGTGTGTCAGTGGTAAACTGACACAAGCAATGGTTAAAAAAAATCTACAGCTACCTCAAACAGAGGAGCAGTTTTATGGATATCAGGAATTCATTTCTGAGTAAACAGCTGTAGGCACACGTGTGCTACGTGCTATTGAGTCGGCTCTGACTCCTGGTGACCCTGTGACTGAGTGATGGCCCCAGTGTCCTGTCCTCAGCAGCCCTGCCCTGCTCCCGCAGACTCATGCCGATGGCTCCTTTCAGGGAGTCAATCCATCCATCTGTACTTGGTCTTCCTCTTTTCCTGCTGCCTCCTGCTATCCCAGCATCACTGTCTTTTCCAAAGAGCCCTGCGTGTCAGGATGTGCCCGAAGTGGGACAGCTGCAGCTTTGTCGTTTTTGCCCCCAGCGATGTTTGCGGCGTATCCTGGAGATCTTGTGGGATCAGTCCTGGAGCACCGCAAGGGTGAGTAATGTGAAATTTTGGGCTTCACAGTGTACATGAAAGTCATGTTCCTATTACACTGTAACCTACGAAGTATGCAAGAGCATTGTGTCAAGAAAACTAACGTGCATACCCTAATTAAAAATGCTCTAACACTGGAAAATGCTAACCATCCTCTGACCCTATTGGAGACACGTGCCAGTGCCAAGAGAGCTGCTAGACATGGGGTTGCCACAAACCTTCAATTTGTAGCAAATGTACTATCTGCAAAGCATAATAAAGAAGTGCAATAAAACAAGGTATGCCTGTCTGCTGTTACCCTAACCTGGTCTGTGGTCCTCTTGGAATCTCCAACAACCCTTAACGAAAACCAAATTTTACAGAAACCTTCTCCCCAGACAAACAAATATTATGATAATAAAACAGAAAACAGGCTTGAGAAGAACACGGATTTGCACGAGTGACATTGTAACGAACACAGTGGGCAGCAAAGCAAACAGGCTCTGGTGTGTAAACATGTGCACGGACCGACCACAGCTGCTGGGGAAAGCTGATGGGCAGTCACGGGTGGGCTGGGACACAGAGATGCCACGGACGGAAACGCTGCCACAGGCCCCGGTTTTGGACCCCACGGAGAGCGGGAGGCTGGGGTGGGCTGTAGCGTCGACTTGACTGACGGGAAGGACAACTGCTGCCACATCGCCTGGCTTCAGAAGACCCATCCACATAACTCAGTTTCTCACTGCTATTCCTGGAGGACAGTAGTTAAAGAGCCAAGTGTTCACGGAAAACAAATGCCCCATGTGCCTGTCTGGCGGCAGATCACGACTGTGTCTTTGCATTTGGTGCTAAGCCAGGACACTGTTTGTTGACGTAACCATGGGTGAATTTTTTAATTATTTCTCTTAATGTAAGAACTGGCGGTCTTTTCAGGCTAGGACTGATACTTTCCCCAGGAGCTCTCCGGCTTCCCTGGAAAGGCACAGGGACCCAAGCCCGTAGGCACTCGGCCGGCGAGAAGGCCTAGTCCGAGAAGCCTGCCCCTCCACCTTGCCCCGCCCAGGCAGCCCCTCGGCGCACACCCCGAGCCCGGACTCCAGGCCGGGGGCATCTCCACCTGGCTGCCTGCGGGCACTTTAACCTTGGCCTGTCCACAGGACCTCCCAGCCTCCTCCTCGGTGTTCTAGCTCCGCCGGCGTCCTCCACGCTGGAGCCAGGAGGCCTCCCCGACTCCCCTTAGCCCAGCCCCACGTTCAGTCTGTATTAGCTCCTGAAATGAGCATGCGCAGGCTCTCGCCTCCCGTGCTTTTGCGGGTGCTGGCTCCCCGCCCTCATCACGGTGCGGGACTCAGAGGAAGCTGGGCGGGTGCCCTGCCCGGTGCTGCCACAGCGCCTCCCACAGGGCACCAGTACCACAGCGTCTGTTTATGAGTGTGTCTTACCCCCAACTCCTTGCAGCTCCGCAAAAAACGGTTTATGCCTTATTCATCCCTAACACCTGGTCCAGGTCTGGCCTTAACAGTCCCAAGGACGCCTTCCTTCCCTAAGCACAGGCCTGCCTTCCCATCGAGAAGCTGGCCCAGGGTCACAGGCTTGAACAGTCCTGCCACAGAGGGCTGACGGTGGACCTGAGCTCCCAACTGCGCGCGGAGAGCAGTCCTCGTGCGTGCTGCGGTCCCCCGGCCTTTCCATCCTGGCCTCAGCCACCATCAAGGCCGCATGCCACTTAAACAAGAGATGAAAGAAGGCATCACTCCGGAGCCTGTGACCAAGGGAAGCCGTTATGGCTGCTGCGCTCCCCCCAACCCCCACCCGGCTATTCTTTCCTCGATGGAGCCTAAAGTCAGACTCACAACGTCTCGGCACGCACACACTTCTCTCCTTCAAAATTCCATGTTCAGCCCCATTTTTTCTGAGGCCAAATCTCTTCAAAGCTCTATGGTCACCTACAGAAAGTCCTAAAATCTTTGGATTTCAGGAGCTCCAAAATTTGTCCCACCCACTCTTCCAGCATCATTCCTGCAGCCAAGGAGCCATCCCTTGCCCCAGAGAGTGGCCCCCGGTCCACTCCCAGCACCTCCCCACCCTACTCCACCTACTCTGTCCACCCCAGGCCACAGCCTGCCAGGTCCCCCAACCCTCAGGACTTTGCGTGTGTCTTAATGCTTACTCAGGCCACCCAAATTCTAGTCCTGTGACTGAGTCCACTGCGGAACATGACCTTGGGCATGGAGTCTAAACTCTTCTCTCAGTAAGGGGGGCTACGCCAAAAATCATGAAGAACATAGTTTCCAGGGGCCCTTTTGGGCTCCGATGTGCCGTGACGTCAGCTTCCAGACCCGGCACGGCCTCCGTGACTGCGGGCTGACCTACAGGCCTGCGATTCCAAGGTTACCATCGGGAGGATGGAACAGGTCCTGATCGATAGGCGATGAATCATTCCGCTCAAAGTCAGCTCGGTGCCCTCTGTTCTTCCAATATGCAATCCCATAGGAGTCATTTAAAAAAAAAAACTGTTATTAATCTTCATTTTCTTGTGGCTCAGGAGAAACTGATTAACGCCTTAGGCAGCCATCTGGAACAGCTATCTTCCCAAAAGGAAGCTCCGTAGCCCCAGGCTTTGTTTGGGGGACTCAGGGACCTTTCCTCACAGCCCTGCCTTCCCCTGTTCCCTCCTGGGTACCAGGCTAATGAGCCGGGAGGAAGGTAGAAATCCACCGGTCCAGGAGAGAGGATGCGTCCAGCAGCTGACCCTCCGGGGGTGTCATCTGCTTCTCAGGAAAAACCAAGTCTTCTCTTCTCCTCACTGCGGAGGTAAAGAGGTTTGCATGTCTCCTGCATTTAATTCCCGTGACATACATCCCTCGTTCTGAAACAGCGGAAAGCTCAGCACACGGGGTCTTAAGAGGCAATGTGGCCTCTCGGTCAGGCCTGGAGCAGAGGCACGCGGAACAGCTTCCTCTACGTGCAGCGACGTCTACTGCCGACTAATCTTGCTCCTGTTCAGAACACCACCCAAATGTCTCCCTACTGGTGCTTCAAAAGCCTGGATTTTCAGAACCTGACTCCTCAAAAAGGCTGCTGTGGAGGAAGGAATAATGACCCTCCCAAGATGGCCCTGTCCTAACTTCAAGAACCTGTGCATATGTTAATTTACATGGCAAAAGAGACTTTGTGGATGTGTTTAAATTAAGGACCCTGGGCTGTTCCCATGAATGACCGCGACAGGCCCAACAGAACCCCAAGGGAAAGAGGGAGGGCACTTCGCTTGCGAGGACAGAACAGGAGCAGGGGCCTCGGGCCGAGAAAGGCAGCAGCCCGCACGAGCAGGAAGAGGCAAGGACACATTTTCTACCGGAGCCTCCAGGAGGCACGCAGCCCGGCCAGCACCACGATTTTAGCCTGTAAGTCCCGTCTCAGACTCCCAGCCCCCAGGACTGTAGAGAGTGGCTTTCAGCCACCAAGTTTGGGGTAACTGTTTACAGCGGCCTGAGGAAACCAATACAGCTGCCAGGTGGCTGTATACTCTAATGAGATGTGTTACAGTACTAAAGACTTACTTAAAAAGTATTCAGTTCACTCCCCCAAATACCTTCTGAGCCACTACTATGTACTGGGCCCCAGAGATGCAAACAGAAAAGGTTCCAGCCCAGGAGCCCCCGCCCCCTCTGACGATACAGACATTCCAAGAGATTTGAGCTGCATCTCTGAGTACCCGAGGGCCTCGCTGGGGTGAGGAGGGCTCCGGATGGTGCAGAGAACCTTCAATAAGCATGAACAAAGGGACAGTGCTTGGAAGAACTCCCAGGCGTCCGGGGTGGTCCCGTGGTGCTGTGGCCACACTGCGGCTGCTGGAGGTTGTGCCGTAGCCCAGAGTCGGTTTGCAGAGTGCCCTGTGCCCAGCCAGGGGTCTGGCCCTTACTCTGAACCATCCAAGCCTTGTAATATGGCATGTGACCCCATCTGACATGCTTTAAAAAGTTCCTTCTGGTGGAACGAAGTGGTCAAGAAAGAAGACACAGGGGCTGCTGCGATGGTCCAGGTGAGAGAGGACGAATACAGGCTAAGTTGGTATCACGAGGACAGGGCAGGAGACACGGGAACTAGGTACTGAAAGGACAGCTGGCAGGACTGGTGGTACGAATGCGGGGGAGAAGCAAGACTCCCGGGGCCCCCCCTAAGACAACTAAGCACCCTCATTACTGGGATGAGGAAGGTGGAAGGCTTTGGTGAAGGAAGCTGATGAGCTCCAGGTTGGACAATAAGTGTGAGGTGCTTGAAGGACACCAGGTGGCCAGGTCCACCAAGCTGGTGGCCACTCAGTTCCTGATCTCAGGTTTGTGGTCTGGCGACAGGGACCTGGGAGGCAGCGAAGTCTAGGGAGCAGATGAGAGTGTGGAGAATGAGAACAGACAGAACCAGGCCTGGACCACAAGGATGAACAGTGTTTAAAGGCCTCGCTGAGGTCAAGGGTCCGATGGAA